CTCCAAATGCCGCCAAAAGAATTTTGGATGATCTAGACTGGACTACATCGTAGGAAACCACGGGATATGTCCTGACTATGTCAAGTCCATCGTAATTCCATTTCGTACAATGATACTTATCTGACTTGAAACGAAATATAAAAATGTATTCTTCTTTTCCACTGCATCTTGCGATTATTTTGTGCACGGGAGTGTGACACGTGGGTCCATTGATTCTTTTGAAAAATAGCGAACTCGTTTATTCGCGCCGCGATTATTATTTTATTCTCTGATCGATCGTGGTTTCTCTGTCGTTTCTTCCTGCATACTTTGAAGTGAAATTTCAAGCATATCGGAGTTTAAAATTTTTCGATATTTCCAAAAGTTTAATGTCGCGAAAATAGAATGTTTAAAACAGTTTAATACAACTCGTTTCTTGTTCCTTTCGCAGGACACGAAATTGTATATACAGTGCCAGTAGCTTTATCTTCTTTTTCTCGTTCCAATTTAGACAAATGTGTCTTTGATACCGAATGCTGCCAGTAGGGCTACGAATTATTGTACTATGTTTATAAAGTTCGATGTGATCGTTGTGTAGGATGTAAACATTGCATCTATACATGCTTCGTTTGATATTTGGAAAGATTCGTGTAAGCGCTGCGTAGAAGATGAATGTTTTTGTTGATGTTTATATTTTTTTTGTAGATCGTTAACTGTGTTCCTGATTGTGTCACCGGCTCGAGCGTCCCCTCCCCTTCCCCCGTCACTTTGGAAGATGCACAGCGAAACTATGGTACAAGAAATCATTCAGTCGTCTGATTTCGTACCGATAACGTGGATCGCGTTGTGTCAGGTTTGTAACGTATTCTAACCTATTGGTGGTGTCGGTTCTTTATTGTTATTATTACTATGTTTTGTACTATTCATTATTATATCTTTTACCATCGTCTATATCTCGTTATTAATATCGTTTGATTAATACACATTTTAATTATTTATACATTTGTTTTAACTTGTAGTTATTCTTTGTGCAGGTTATTGATCGATAGCAGGGATAATATAGAAGTAACTGGAATATTAATATGTGGACGCAACGACAATTAATGATGAATCCGATGAATTTTCATGGAAATTTAGTAGTGTTTAATTTATTTTAACCAAGACAGCTGTGTATGAACAATTCTATTGCCTTGTTATACGAGCATGGGTAACATTTGATATTCAATTTATATTTACTTTATAACATATTTGATATATATTTCATAATGGATAATTTCGTAATTACTTGGAATACTAAGATGAAAGTAAATACGATTAAATAAATCATTGTTCTAGTTCGAACATATGAAATCATTCTCCTGTTTCAAACGAATTTGTAACGAATTATTTTACTGTTTCAATGTAATTTGCGATATAGAATTCTTGATAATTTAACGATAGCTTCTTGTAGACAGTTTAAAACATAGAAATCTTAATAAAAATAGCTTTAACTTATTTTGATAGGCATTGTAACATTCACATATCGAATTAAAATTATTTTGGTATATTATGTGAATTTGCTACAGTTAACGTCATATACTTGCAAATTCGTAGCTTATATCTTTTTCATAGAGGTGGCGCGCTAGTAAACTCAAACACTTCAAAGCAAAGTTTCGTGCGCATTTCTGTAGTATTCTTTAATTATATTTAGTTGTGAACTTTTGGATTCTTGCAAATATTTCCGAATATTTATAACACGCGACTACAGTATCGTAGTGCAGTGTATATTTCATATTCTAGTAACGAACATTTACAGTATAATTCTTGTAAATGATTGCATTACATTCACGGTATTTGTAAACATTTGTTCAATATCGAAAAATATCTTATAATTTTCAAATAATATTTTTCATACGTATTCCAAATTCTTAATAACAATTTTTTAGGTGTACAAAGAATAGCAGTATTTTCTAAATAAACGTTCGATAGAAAAAAGAAGAAAGATACCGAAACGATATTCGCTTCGTTTACACCCCCTCCTCAGTCCGCCATTACACAATTTTATTTTTAGAGAATATTTGGGACCGAGCACAATGCGGTTTGCAGAGTCAGTGTTTGCTATGCAAAAGTATTTTTTAATACTTCCAAATCATGATAGTTTTGATGAAATTCAATCGAATAATCACACACGAAAGTAATAAAATTTTAAAAAAGAAATTTGTACGCTATATTAGAGTCTTTATATATATACTCTTTTTTTCTTTTTTTTTTTTTTTTGAACATTCGTTTTCGGTATTAGAATCATTGCATCTCTTAAGAAGATAAAGCCTATCCAGGAGCTCAAGAATGTAAGTAGTTTTATATATTGTACTTCACTTTGCTCAGTTTTTTGTATTTTGTTTCAATTATTGTTAATTACAGAATAAAAATGATCGATAATTTAAAAAGCTATAAAGGTATTTTTTAATTGAAATTGTCTTAAAGTGTTAACATTCAATTACAATAAAACTGTCTGACACGCATCAAAAGTCAGTGAATTCTCAATTTTTTGATTTCAAACTTTTATATTAGAATTTCAATTTACACTACTTATTGAAGTTTATTAGAATTTCAGTCCTTATTATTGCTAAAGTTCCAAGTTTGTTATTATGTATTAACAATATTAATGATATCTTATGTTTTGTTATAGACATACCACTGCTTCGACTTCTTCATCTTTTTTTGGAATGTTCTAACAGTGACTCAAAAGCCAAGAAGTAAGTATTTTTACATATCGTACTTCAATTCTGTCTATTCTGTATATTTTTCTTTGATCACTATCAATTAAGAAATACAATTTGATTGTAATTTGAGAGGTTAGGATCTTCTGAGGTTATTCTTTTATTAAAATAATATAAGTGTTAAAGTCTTAATACCGAATTATGAAACAAATAACTAACATATTTAAAAAATCATTAGATTCATTAGATTAATTTTTAAATTTTAAACTTTCATATTAGAGTTTAAGTTTTTACACTTATCAAAGTTTATTAGAATTTCAATCATTATTATTACTAAAGTTACTAAAATTAATAAACTTTCTAATTATTATAAATAATTAATAACTTTCTCCAACTTTTCTAATAGTCAGCAATCACTCATCGTGTTTTGTTTTGTAACAGATTTTTCGCAACCTCCATTTCCACCATTGGCCTTTCAACGGTTCCTGACTGATGTTAGTCTCCCTGATGATATTCGCTGGGATACCGCAGCATCCATGGTACGTCCTTTGTTTCTCCGTATCGAACGGTGAGTCGCATGCATTTTTGTTCCTCCGGTCACTCAATCATGTCGTAGGATGAAAGGTCCGAATCGGCACGGGTGACCGGTTGTATTACGTAGAATTTTGTTGCGAACATAGTGACCGCGGGTATTTCTTATACCCGTGAGTAGTAACATTCTTTTTTTTTTAATTTATTAGTTTAGGATATGCCTTCTTACACAGCGCGATTATAATAATTAGTCTTTTAATAATTAGTTTAAATATATACACTTGAGAATATATTCGTGTTATTTATAAATATGCATGTTAACATTCCGTATGAATATTTGCAAATAGCAAATATCTACACGAATATACCTGTATGACATAAATATACTTGATCTTAAGCAATGAATATTAAGTCACGTTCGTTTATTTTACTTTGGCTGGAATTTAAAATATAAGTTAAAATTCATTTTTTCCAGTACAAGAATGTATGAAATTTTACGCCCAAGAAGACACTTCGCGACAGACCGATTTTTTAATCAAAGCAATAATTTTGAACACTGCTTCTGCACTTTCGAGTATATGCTTTGATAAAGAGATCGCCTGAGATTATTTCTTTCTTAGTAATATATTTGGAGTCAATTATTCCATTTGATCGAGTCACAGTCTTTTTCAATTAACGCTACCTTTTTTGCAATATTAAAGTTTTGTTCTGATATATTAAATTAATAAAGTAGAGTTACTTGATTACTATTAAATTAATAGAGTAAATTTAATCAGATACAAAGTAGTAAAATATAAAATCAAAGAACGTTAGTCCGTTAAATAAAAATTACACAAACTAATGATCTGTCTAGATCAGGATTTTCAGGTTTAACCCTTTCCGTGCCCATTGTCAAGATCTCATTCACGTGCCCAGGTGCTACTTGAATGGGAGAGAGACATTGGGCACGATGATCTAGAATTAAGTAATGTAATAATTTCTCAGTGACTAACGATGTGTTGTTAGTGTATCGTGCGCGACGTATTTCCCACATTGTGTGTGTATGTGTGTGTGGTTAGGCTATGGAATTGCGTCGTTTTTTTTCATTCACTACAACTTAAACTATTAAAAATGTCGAGACATATATCGATTCAATTTACGTCTCGATACAATTACAATTTCTGATAATATCATCCACGCGATTAAGTGTAACCACGCTTTTAATATAGTCGCAAATTACAATTATAACTCCAAGTTTACTTACATTTATTTTAACGATATCATTTCCTCAAACGTGTTTTATCACGTTTTACGCAATGGTCATTAACCTTCGTCAGTCGATTTCAGGAAAACGGTACATACCTTAGAGTGTGCATGTGTGTTAAGCTCGGGTATCGGAGGCGTCCCGGGACGTCCTCTTTAGTGTAGGACCTTTGCGCCCGAGCGTTTGTGTGAGAACCGTGGAGCGAGTGTGTTGCTGTGGAAATTCGCGATCGGAAGGTACGCTTTTATGAATTTCCATGAGTAAATAGATTTAATGTTCAATCTACCATTTCTTTCGCAAAACGTCGCGCGGAATTGTCTACGTTTTTGAATATTGTGTTCTTCTTCTTTATGATTTGTACAAGGTAAGCTACCGCCCATGTGTCGTTCGGTTTGATGATTACACTGTCTACCCCGCTGCTTAGGCTGACCTTCTTTTGTTCGTGTAAGGAGGTTTGCTCACATGCAGGGATATTTTTGGCCGATTTTTAATTGTCAATAACTAAGAAACAAAGCCGAAAAGGCTATCATGTTATTGTTGATTTTCGTCTTCTTGATTCATGGTTTATTTCGGCTTCAAGAATCACCTCTTAAATTTTTTGACATCTGTAGCCGAATACACTGTATATATGATTTCGAAACGCAGCTATGTACATAGTACTGGTCAGTAGATTTACACACTCTGTTTGAAGATACGAAATTAATTAATATTTGGAAATTATAATCAACTATTTCTTTTTTATATGAAATCGAATAATTTTTTTCGTGAAAACTTTCGGTTTTATCTCGTTAATGTTTATAAGTATTTGTTATTCCAATATTCATACTGTGTTTTTTGTATCTCCTTCACCAGACTTTAACAAATAAAAATGTTTATTCATATCAATTTGGGAAAAATTTATTAAAAATGACAAAGACTGGGAAGAACGTATGTCTTTTAAGATTACCTGCCTTACAGTAATTTATGGAGTATGGCACTTTCTGGCGCTTATACTCCCTACGCGATCAGAATTATTTAACTTTAATTAAAGGAGAAAGCACATTTGTCTGCACGTCACATACACGAAATTTTATTAATCCTTTTCTTGGAACAAAATTTCAATGAATACAATTATTCGCTAAGGAAAAGTGTGTAAAAAATAGGAAATCATACTTTGTTATTCACATGTCTTTATTAACAAATGCGAGGGGATAATAAATAATCGTGTCGCGCGAGTAATAAATAAAATACAACAACGTCCTGGCGATTGTTAAAAAATGAAAAACTCTTAAGCCAGTCTCGAAATTCGACCTCTTCGACTCGTCGTCAATCGAGCCAGGTGCTCGTCTCTTTATCCTATCAATTTCTTACCGAATCAATTACCTTTTACCGCGTACACGTGTTGTTGAACGAACGGTCCTAATGTTCCATTCTCCCGTCTCTAAACTATCAATTTCTAATTTATCAACTTTGATCTCAAAAGAGTCATAAATAATTTGATTGTTCGCACGACGAGATAATAGAACTTTTCTTCCGCTCTGTGTGGCAGAATGATCGACAATCTTCGATCGATCGGTCGTATAGCACAAACTAGCATCGATCGACGATCATCCATTGTGGTTCTGGTGGTTATTTGGCGTGCGTCTCTTTGGTCTCTCGATCGTACGATCGATCCGTCGTTAAGAATATGAGTTAATCATAGAATGAATCATGGCGCCGATGGCAATCGACGCATTTTTGTAACCGCGATCTAATAGTTTCCTGATGAGCTACCGGAATTGATCGACGACGAGGAGGCCGAGGAGGACGAGGAAGAAGAATACGAATTCCTGGCGAGTCCGCTGCCTGGCGAGTAATAGGAGTATGCGAGATTCTGAGCTTCCACACCGTTGGTCGGCGTCCAGACGCGGGAATACGGTCCATTTCCGTCCCATGTGTTCGCTGGATCGTAGCTCGACGTGGTCGAGGGCATAGGTGGAGCTCCGTACGCCGGTGACGCAGCTGGTTCCATCGACATTCCTGCAACAGTAAGTTTCGGTGTTCTCATCTTTTTCGTCGAAAATTGTTGTTCGCATTGTAATGATATTGAATAAAATGTCGGTTTTCTCGATACCTAATGGAATTTATCTGATTATAATCGCAATACATACCCATTGGCATCATCATTCCACCCTTCTTAAAGAACTGCACAGCGATGAATCCAACGACTAAGAGGATCGCGAGTTTCGAGAGCACTAGAGCCTTCAATGCTTTCAAACCAATGATAGCAACGAAGATAGGCATCAAAGCCTTCAATTTTAGTTTCAACAACAACAGGAATGGCAACAGCAGCTTCTTCTTTAACATTCCTCTAGCTTGACTGGTCGCAACTTCGTTTCCTTTGAATTCGATATCCAAATCAGCCAAACTTCTGCTGGGTCTGTACTTGAGACTAGCATCCACGAAGGGTAAATCGATTCCATAGTCAAAGCTCTTCAGGTACTTGAAAGTCCTCGCAACGATAGCTTCGTCCACTGTATCCAACGACCTAGCTTCCGTGCTAGTCCCGAGTTTTCCATCTAAATATCCAAGCACCTCTTGCTTCAAGCAAGACATCCAAGAGTCCGCGGCGATGCACTCGTTGAGAGACTTGGAGAGGAAATCTTGACTGGCCAGGCAGCTTCCTGCCATCAACACAACTGCTACTGTCGCTACGAAAATCCTCATGTTGATCCTTTGATTATCCCTGGAATTAGTTATCCCAAAGTGGTCTTCGCTGCACAACTTCTACACTTTGTTTCTCGAACAAAACGCGAAACGATCGATCGTCCACCCGTATGAGTGCGAGCGAGCGATCGCCGATCGAACTGCGACTGGCAGAGGAGTGGCCCGCCCCTTTTATTTAATTTGCCCCCTGTGAATCTATGTTATTCGGTCGCGCATGCCGGGAATTGACGATCGAAGGAAAATTATTCAAATTTCACTGGCACATAGAGCGGCTTCTCCTCTACACCCCTCTCTCTCTCCTCCTTAAGTACGTGCGTGCACGCGTCCCGACGCGTTTACGACCGCGTATACGTATGTAGCGTCGCGTATCGCGTACACGATGGCATGCGCGACGCCTCGCCACACGGGAAACGGAACTTGTCCCGCGTTCACCATCGATTCGTGCTCTCCTCAACTTGGATGTCGTTTCTAACGCCCCACTCGCAAGCACGCGATCTCTATGCCTTCTATGATCTGTAAAGAACACACACTTTGGACAACGAATAACCGTTCTCGTTGTACGTCGACAGATGGCCGGTGAACGGGAACGTTTTAGTTTCCACCGACGATTTTTGATCGTTTGACACGATCATATATGGATCGATGGAATGTTTGCTGGGTTTTAATAGATTGTGCTATTTCAATAAGTCGTTGGTATTACTGTTATAGGGCATTTCATAAAGTGAACCGATCTGGTTATATTATTATTTATTTGTACAATTATTTTCATTAATATTCGAGCTCTTTAAAACGGTATAACTTTTTAAATATTGGACTAAATGACTTGAGTTTTTTTAAGAACTTAGAAGAATCAGTTTATTAAATGTCGTGTAGGAAAGATTTTGAAAAAGCTGCAATTAGCCAGAACTGGAAAAAAAGGAAGAGAAATAGTACAATACATTCTTTACAATGTTTTTTATCTTAGTCTGTACTAAAAATTCAAACAATGCGTTTCGTAGATTTTTGTCAGTTGCATACGTATTAAAAATTTCATCGAGATCGATTGATTGACAGAAACAAGCGGCAGGCACCGAAAGAGACTAACAATTTTAAGACTTTTTATTACAATTATAGGTCGAAAGTTATGAAAAACTGCGATTTTCCCTAGCCTTAACTGTTTGTAGCTCATAGCAACGTTTACAGATTTTGATGATATATTGTACACATATATAACTTACATGAATTTACAAACGTATTTAAATTTTCATTAAAAGAATGAAGGAAGTGACTTCCGCTACGTTTTTCAAAATTCTGACAAACTGCAATTTCCTTAGAATTTTTTCCACATCTAGTAAATTAATTCTTCTAACTGATCTTTCAAAAAAAAAAGAAACTCGTCGTGTAGTCCAATTTTAAAAAAGATATTCTGTTTTAAAGAATGTCCGAATATTAATGAGAGTGACTATATTTTTTAGGGAAGTTTTGCATATGTGAAAATTTTTGCATATTTCACAATTAAGCTAAATTTTATGTATCAGTTAAAAAATTCGATATTTCAAATGACGTAAAGATGGAACCTTATAATTTCAACTGTGCGTACGAGATTTACTTACAAGAGATACGTTAGACTATTGAGTCCGATTTAAAGCTTCAATTATAAAATATCAACTGTTACTCCTAAGATGATTAAAAAATCGACGCTTTAGTGACCTGCAAGAAATGTGTATGACTTTAAAATGCTGTAAATCGTTGAGTGAAATGTTGCACTTCAGTGTGATAATTGCATATCATCTACTACGATAACGACATAATCGGAAAGTGTAGTTTCGAATAAATGATGTTTAAGGTTTAAAGAAAAAGGAAAGCACAAGGTGCTGGAAGGTCGCTGCAAAGACGAAACTGGATTTCCATTTTATAGGAACACATGTGCGGAACAAAGCGATGATTTCCAAGACAAGCGAAGTAATAGCTGCGTCTGATTATTGTCGGGCATAATCTTCTTGCAAAACCGGACTGCGTCTGATTCTACTTAACAATAATTTTTTATCGTGTTTTTATAATTAATTGTCGACAAGGATGGATCGTATCAATTACAGGGGAGAAGTTCCATCGCCATTCATGCCGTTGAGCTATGAAATAAGCTACACCGTTAATGGGCCATTTACGTTCATGATGCGATAAACGTTGCTTGAAATAGTTTCACGCATTACCGTGAACGAAGATCTGATTTCTTGCGTGTTAGATGAGACACGGGGCCATTTAATAATATCATTTAATGAATCGTTTTGAATCTTCGTCGATGTCTTTTTGTTCTCAAGATTGGGTTCCAGGGCTATTAGGATAATGATAGTAATAACAGGTACATTCTTATTGTAACACGGTTATATTAGATCCTACAAAGACATCATTGTAACGTGATCAAAACCTAAGGCTACATATTATTACAACGATAATCTAGATTATCATCTTCTGTGACTTATTTCGCAGATTAACATTTATTATGAAGAACTTTCTATCACTTTTACTTCAGACTCAGATTGCTAATTTTAATCTGAAATACTCCTTTCAATCCTTATAAATAATGTTCTCTAACAGATTTCATCCTGTTATTATCCACTACTTATACACATTAAGTACATACTTCATAAGGATTATGAAGTTATTATTGCAGTATAGGAGTCTATATAAAGAGAAAGTCAAACAGGCTGAGTAATTTGCAATAATAATTTATTAAATAAAGAGTATAGAGGAAAGGTGGAAGACAGGTATTTTACAAAAGTCGCGACAGTAAACAAGATGTACGGGTGAGTGTTTTACGATTGCGCGTGTCCAGAATACGCGAGGTTTTGCGCGAACGACGCCAATGGCTGTTCGTCGTCTTGGAAGGATCTATATTGAGCTTGGTACTCCCATGGTCCGTGAGCGGTCAATGGAGCTGCATGACCGTCAGCGGCAATTTTCTTGCACAGCTGGAAGATCGCCATACCGACGGAGACGATGAAGCTGAAGAATGAAAGTTGAAGAGCGTTCCAGGCTTTAAGACCAAGGACACCGATGGCTAGGGGGATGAGAGTCATGGCCTTGAGCAAGACGAACACCAGGATGGGGATGACGACCTTCTTCAACTTGGACTTGCGAGCCTCTTCGACGGCACGACCTTGGCCAAACTTGACGTTGAAGGTGAGCTGATCGTCGTCAATGTCCCTGGCGCTCACCTTCACGGACGAGTCCATAGGCAGCTTAAAGGTCACGTCGTGAGAGGTCAGGTAGGTCTGCACATTGTCCAGGAAAGAGCCCTCGCTGCGAGCCGAGACTTCTTCGACGGGGTACGAGTTGCGAGTCACCTCCACGGTTTCAGAGACCTGCGACCGACAAAGAAGAAAGTGAATCTACTTTCGTGAACATTGGGTTCAAACCAGGTTAAACGGAATCATGCAACGCCATTTCACTCTCTAAAACTACCAAACCGTAAAAGTGATTGGGTCACAACCACTGTGGTAACTGGTTGTGGATAAGGTGATAAAAGTAAAGCGAGAATGGAAAGATGATTGCTTGTATAACCTGGTTGGAACGAGTTAGCAGACACTTGCCTTGAAGCTGTCTTTGCGGAAGATCTGGTCCAGGAGATTTAAGACCTTGAATTTCATGCAGGAAACCTCGTCGTTCTTTTGAGAGCACTCGATTTTCGTCTGATCAACCATCTGGTCTATACCACTACCCTTCCAGAGGTCGTTCTTCGCGGGTTGAGCGGCCGCCAGGGCCAACATGGCGCACAACACAAACAGCTTCATGATTTTCCTAATATGGAGACGAGAACTCGTGGTACCCTGAAGAAAGTCTTGAGGACGATTGCACGACGACTGATGCCAATGGGTTGGGCATCAGGCTATTTATACGGAGCCCCCGTCGTCGAATCGTCGGACGTTCGTCGCGTAGCGGAGCATCCGACATACACGACGCCCCCACTTTCATCCGGCCACGAATTTTCTTTTCGTTCAGTATGGTGTTCGATTATCGAGGCCTCGAGGTGATCGTGACGGGAATATGGGATTGTGCAAGATCAGCAAAGCCGAAAGAAAGCTTCGCCGCGACCGATATCTGTCAAGAGGGTCGCGTGCTACGTTAAAGACACGCGATTATGCTACACGATAACGGCAAGTGTTACGTTGATTCCCACCAGGAAGAATTTTGTTAACTATTAGCTGTACGTGTTTTGTGCACTATTTTGTAATCTACTCTCGATTGTGAGATCAAGTTTAATATTGATTTAGTATAAATTACATTTGGTATTTATATCTTAGGGTTGAAATGGAAAATAAGACATGAGAAAGGTAACTTTACCATATTGCGGTTTCGGTTAATAAGTATTATATCTATGATTAGTTTTTAAAATTTCTGCTATTGACGTAGAAGTTGTACAGTTGATATTACTCTATGTCAGAATTGAGGGTTCGTTTGACATTCATACCAAATTGATCAAAATATCTATCATTTCATTAACCTCGATCATGTATTCATAAAAAAATCCACTCACGCATTAAGCTGGGCGAAACTTTCGAATATTTGGCCTGCTATCATACAGCATCGTTTTAGCTAGCAAAGCGGAAGTGGCGTGCGCAAGCCAGTAAGAACAGAAGACCCTTCATCCTTGGCACCAATGCCACCGTAACATTGGCATTGAATCGATCGTTCATTCATACCACGAACACGGTACTTTCCACACGTCTGTTTCATCAACACTTGAGTGCTCCCCATCCCGTTTCGAATGACGACAAGATATCTACCCTTTGAATCAATCTTTGAAAATTAGGCATACCTGAACGATACAATTTTCATTTTATTACATATTAATCTTTATTTCATATAGAATAACCTTATAAAGTTTCCAATTTTATTACAATTTATAAAATTCACGAAATATCTTAAATATAATAAAAAATGGGATCTACGAATAATATTTATAGACATAAATTTCCTTCGCTTCGTTTATTTTCTGAAACTAGCTTTTTAGAAGTATATTTATTTGATTTATTTGGATTATGATGTTTAATGAAGTTTAATGAAGATTAATGCGTACATTTTACTCTTTAATGTTTCAGTTAAACCACGTGTACTATCAGATTTGATAAAGGAGTTGTTCTAATCACATTAGAGATGCGCGTTGCGTGCGAGTTTCTCGTGCGAGAATGTGCGCGTGGGGTTGTGACAAGACACTTTTGTCCGCCTTGCCGACTTCCTTCTGCTCGTAACAATGAACCGGTAATTGGAATTTTGGGTCGAGTTTGCATAAGCATTCAGGACGTTGTAGTGCCATCGATGTCACCTTTCCGACTCTTCGAACACTCTAATTTTTCCTTCGTGAATTTCCACGCTCACGACCTGTATTTTCCCCGTTTACGTTCCCTTTTGGCTTCCTGTCCACGCAGAGCCGTGGTCGATATGGAATCATGGAACACGGGTTTATTGTAATGAAATTGCACTCTGAAATTCGCGGAACTATTTAGAACGGAAATGAAGAATTAATTCTAGTTAGCTTCATACATCGATTTTGACAAGAACAATATCTACTTTTACTATGTCATGAACGATCTCAGACTTTGCTGTTCGAGTTGATCGATTTAATTACTCCCACGATACTCGATTTCCAGCGGCTCTACCTGAACGACCACTGAATGCCAAAGTAACTTTTTCCACTTTCTCGGTCATTAAATACCCACTTTGATCGATTCTCATCGCGTAGGCAAATGAAAAAAAGGAAAGTGATCAAATTCGCCCATTTCTCTTTTTCTTTGATGATTAGGGTGAGAATGACAGATGGAGACAAGATATGATGAGACCATGTAAGAAATTTTATTTATAAATAAGTCAGAGTCGCGCTTTAATAAATAATAAATAGAACGATTCTAGGGGGAGGAAATTGAGGTTCTTCGTCAGCTTATTTTCTGTACCCCCTATAGGGACCATGAGCTGCCGTTTCCCAGTGTGGTGGGTGCTCTACTGGTGGGTGTCCGTAGTGCACGACTTCGTAGGCGACCTTGGGTTTCGTCAGCTTGAAGATCATCATCGCTCCACTGAGCACCATCGAGAGGAGACCCAGGGTGAGAGCTTTCCAGGTCTTCAGAGCAATCAAGGCAAGAGCGAGCGGCACCAGAGCGGTAGCTTTGAACTTCAGACCCAGCAGGAACGGAATCATAACCTTCTTAACGAATCCACGGCCTATAAATATTATCCAGATAAGTGTATCAGGTCAGTTGTATTTTATTTCTTCCTCTTTATAAAACAAATTTTGTTACCTTGACCGTTTGAGGAGTCAGACAAAGGAACAGTCAAGCTTCTGGGCATGGTATCCACTAAGGCTCTCGGTACAATATTGGAGCCAACGATAGCCTCAGGCAGCTTAGCCTCCAGCTGGTGACTCGACAGGTACGCGTCTAGTTTCTCCAACATCAAAGACCTAAGAAGTTCTTTCCTTGCAGGATCTACTGAGTCGTACTGCGGAGGGTAGTATTCTTCATTGCTTTCTTCGGCCATGTTTCGAGATTTAACTATTGCTAAGTCGTCCGTAATGGCTAGTCTGTCTTCTTTCACAGCTTGGCTAAGGTAGGCCAGGACTTTGGGTTTCACGCATGATAACATGGACTCGTTGTCGATGCATCTGTAAGATGAAATTGATTATTGATCGCTAAATCCAGAGCATAATTTTATTATCTTTGTTACTTTTAAAATATATTGCAATAACTTCATTTTTTTAATGAATAAATTTTTTGTTTTCATCTTTGAGCTCACCTGTAATAAATGTTTTGAAGAGCGTCAGCTGTTGTTTCAATCCTCTGCGCAGCGGTGAGGGCGGCCAGAAGGGCGACAGACGAGACGATCGTTGTGAACTTCATGACGGTACCCACCGATTTGCGAGTCTAAGCACCGAATGCCGACTCGAATGAAGACGACGCGGTTTTATAGTCGATGGAAGCCACGCACGGCCGATGAATTTTGATCAGGGACGTGTGCCCGGCTGAAAAGAAAGAAGAAAGCCTCATTATCTAGGGTGCCGATGTTTTCACGGCTCCGCATCCTTTCCCTATGGGACGATTTTGGTTTCGACATTCACTATTTCCGGCCCATTTTAGCTCCACATATGACCCGAAACTATATAGAGGAAATTTTTCGTTTCTAGCAGTCGTGTCGCTCGCGAAATAACACGATTATAGACGATTCGGGAAGACAGCGTTTAGAAAAGAAGGCACAGCGTGATAGCTACTTCGAGCAAAGGAAAACTAACGACGACGAAGTGAAATTGTACGAGGGTCGATCGTGAGAGGAGAATAGATGAAAGTAAAAACTGTTTATGTGTGAAGAGTAATGAGGGCTAGTGGAAACTGGTAGAAAGTAATTTTATACGAGGATTTGGCTCGCGCTTGCGTAAGATTCGTGTGAATGGGTGGCGCAGTGTTTGTTTTCTTAAATAAGGTACGAATCACGAGCGTAAATTGATCTTACCGTAGTAGAATTTCAGCTCTGCATAGTGAAAGATAGATGACTGTCGATATATTAATTAAATGAGTTTGTCATTTCATTCTTCTAATAATTATGATAGAAATGTGTTCGTGGAATGCTTAGCAAATAATAAATTTATAACATCGACCGAGGTTTCGATAAGCATTGCATTATATTATACTGGTTTTGGTAATATAAAGTATGATACAATAGTAGTTGTTCTTTTTACATCATTTATTACGAACGAAACAATAATATACGTTACAACTTCGAGGTAGTGTAATCGAAGTATTAGTTTATCTTTGTACAATACATAACTTACAGACTATACATAACCTAGTTGTTAACGCGTACAATAAATAATAGTTGGGTATGGCACCCGAGAAGGTAATAATAAATAATCATTTCTAAAAATAAATAAATCATTGGATGTAGTATTAAGATTCCCGTATTCGATCCATTCGCACGTATATCGTAATGTATCGACTTACATTTGAATTAAATTATTTATAAATTACACATACATAAATTACCACTTTCTTGTGACTACACAACGATATCGTACTGGGTAAAATGTCACAGAGAAAATATTTTTAATTGCATAAAATATGTAAGAAAATCTACTATTGAGCAGTAGTACTTGGAGAAACGTGAAACTATCATAATCACACAATCCAGTGCATGATCGAGGATTGTTATCTAAGAGTTACATTTCTGTTACTTTTCTGACAAAGTGTCAAAAGAACGAAGTTTGACATTTCATCAGAAAATTTCATTCTGCTTCAGATAGTACCGAAGATTGAACAAGTGCTTAAGAAACACTTCGTAACAAAAACTCCAAAAAGATCTTGTATTTACATTCCTAATAGAAAGTATTTAATGAAATCGAATAGAAAGCTCGTTTCTTCTCGATTTAGTATTCGTCCCATCACAAATTCCACGTAACGCTTCCATGACTGCAAGCACTAAGCTTCACAAGGAACAATCGAAGTACTTTTACATATTACAAAAAGTGTCCTTATTCAAAAGTATCATAGAATACTTTAATAAATTGGACGTAAAATTATCTGACATTCTCTACCCAAATAATCAATTCATGGCCTTGACACTAACTAATAGCCTACAGCCGTGTCCGTGGCCGTCTTGATAACGCCTAGCGGAACAGACCCACCAGTCGTACCCATGTCGGAGACTTCAACGCGTGGCGATGTGATGCCAGAAGTTGGTGACTTCAACATATGTTCTTGTCCCCACGACAATTCTTCATTACTTAGTAACAAAAATTCACACCGAGTTTATTCGGTATTTATGTGACATGGATACATTCTCAAGCAATCTCCACCATCTTGACCCAATCTAGCCGCGTTGAAATATCTGTGGAACTTCTTGCTGGACGAGCTTTCGGTCCCCGTACGTTTCAACTCCTGTGGATCTCTGAAATAGAAAAGAAAAATTAAAATCAAGTTGTTAATGTACTCCTGACACCTTTTCGTATCGAAATCGGTCGATAATCATGTTATAACATAAACCCTGACCCTGTTTTCCTTACCAACGCTTGCATCTAGTCGACACGCGTGATACTTTCGCCATTTAGCGGCTCTAGGTTCGCTAACAAGATAATTTCTCTTTAATAAACGAACTACGGAAGAATTTGCCAAGAGATTGCATTACTTCCTGCTGGAACTAATGATTCTTTTGTGAGCCGCGTTTATTGTTGTCAGAGAACAGTCAACGGAAAGAGCGTAAGAAGAAAAAGAGTCGAATCCGCATGGAACGTGATTCAACGTTCCGATTCGAGCGATTCGGAGCAGTGGCCACCTTTCTCTTTATGATTGACGCCCGAAGTGATCGAATTCGAACGTGGTACACAGGTGAATGAATAATTAATAGCACGATGATCGATACGACAACGATCGAATTTTTGCATAATTTATAGATTAAAAGAAATTAGTTTTAGAAGAACTCCAACGGTAGTGGAAGCTATTCTTCGTATTTGTCTACCGGTAGACGAAACTACTAAATTCGTTCTCTTTTCCACGCTTTCCAGTACGATCATAAATTAAATCAGCTTCCTTCGGATAATAATAACGAACGATGGATTTAGTTGACCGTACGATTCATCTTTTGCTCTTACCTGGACAGTTCGTTCGAAACGAGGTTGCTGTGCGGCGTATACACAGCCGGATTCTTGTACATACTGCACACGAGCCTCTCTTTGCAACTTTCTTCGACGAATCTAAGTTGCTTAAATATATCTTCAAGTCTGTTAATTATCGGTCCATAATATTCATCGTCGTATCCTGATCGTTGCGTAACCACTGTTGCTTTCGAATCTATCTGACTGCTCTTCGCCGAAACTTGTCTCGCATTTTGCTGTCCAAACGCAATGTACGAATTCTTTATATTTGTCGCAGTTGGCAACATCGTTGACGGCAGATTTGCAGGATTTAAAGGGACATTGACGACAGTTGGCGAAGCTGGTTGAACAACTGTTCTACGATTATTATCAACGTATGCTGAGTAGGCCAGATTATGAGCAGATGTCAGTGGACGTTTTTCTAAATACGGAGAAGCTATTGGCTGCGCGTTTGGCGCATACTGAGGAATACCATACGTTCCAGAGTAAGTGGGCGCTGGGAATGGCGCCGGCAGCACTCCTGGTGGAGGTCGAGCTGGCACCGTGCCAGCTCCTACAGGCTCGGTTTGAACTTCGTAAGGCTCTTCGTAAGGTTCGATGCCCCATTCCTTCAATTCCTCGATGTCTTTTCGATATTGAATATGAGGATGAGCATAATCGTAGCCATCGAATTCATCGTCGTGATGGTGATGGTTGTAGTAAGTTGGAACTGGTACTGGAACTGGTACGTGGTGATGATGATGCGCTACCTGGAATAGTAATGGAATATTAATGGTAATATTTGAGAGATCAGCCCTTATTGACATCAAAGTGTCGTTAGAATGATGTAATAATCACCTGATGATGATGGTGGTGATACTTTGTACTGTGCGCAGAATAGTAGCTCGAGCATAGCTTAAAAACGTGCGCAAATGCTGGGATAAAGAAAAGTAACAATTTGAGGAAGAGCTTCTTCGCTGTGCCGACGCCGAACAGGAACGGTATCACGAACATGAACTTCAATTTGATCAGCTTGATGATGAGCAACAGGGCTAACAAGCTTGTCATCAGCTTGTTCTGTATAAATTTTCCTGAAATAGGAAGGGTCGATTAAATCCTTCAGAATGTTTAACTCGCTAGGAAGATATTGATATGTATTATCACAAATTAAATAATTATTCATCGTACTAATTTTCTTGAAGATTCTTCCTTGGCTTTCTAGGCCTTGCTGACCGAAGTCTACTCTAACCAAAGCGCCATTTTCATCAATCTCACGAGGACTTATTCGAATCGTGGCTCCTTCGAAGAAAAAATCGGGTAATTGAATCTGATAATCCCTGGTCGCGAGAAATTTCATCGCCCTCTTCCGCAGCGCGTTAGTCACTTCCTCCAAAGGTGACTGCTCCTCGCCGAACTGTCGACCTCTTTCCTCTCCCTTCTCCTCTTCACTTTCCTCTTCATCGCAATTATCCTTACTGGACCTTTCCACCAGATTCTCATCCATGGAATCATCTTGATCACTCTTCCTGCGACACGTTCCATAATCCAAATTATTTTTCGTCATAGTCAAACCCTCAAACACTGTGATATTGTCTCTCTCCACGAAAACATTGTCTAGGTATGTGTAAGCATTTTTCTGTATGCAGGAGAACGTTACGGATCGATCACAGTCCCTGATCAATCCTTTCCACAATTCATTCTCAGTCTGGTTTAGCGACAAACCACTGAAGTTAAATATCTTTGCGTAATTCTTCAAATTCTTAACATCGAAAAACTGGCAGTTTGCATGCACCACGCACAAATATACGATCACGATCACGGATCTTAAATGCATCCTTGACGAAGACTAGATTTCACCGGATAAGTATTTTTTAAATATTTAAATAGAACTTCACTTGTATCTGATTGAACAAGATTTAGCACAATCAAAGATATAGATAGTTGAAGCGTGTATAGACCAGAAATCAGAACGACGATTAATACACTTTTGATTTCGTCACACCGATATTACCCTATCCACGTGCACCTTTTATCACTTCCGTTGCCCCCTCCAATGATCACGACCTCGATATCAATCTGAATGGATCACACCTCCTTCAAACGTTTTAGGGATCGGCGATTCCTTCCTTCGATTTCAAACAATCCAGTCGCATCGTAAATTGTTTATCGATTCGTTCGACATGTCCGTGTCATTTAGCCGGCATGTCACATCATCTTCGCCCAACTTGTTCGCCTTCTCCGTTCCTTCTCGCGAGACGCGTTCCGTTCGATCTCCCGCTCAAAACTAACCACAAGCTTCTCGGTTCTCGGTTACAATTCACCTGAGCGTCAAGTGTGTCAAAGACCCTCCTACTCCGTCTACGGCCGCTCCGTGGAAGGTCATTATCGTCTCCTCTCCGACTGCAACCGGCCACGCGTCCAGCTACACGCGCGCGCGTGTTAAAAGGCGTTGACGAAGATTTCGGACTTTGTATGCACCGTCAATCCAAGCTCCTTGGCAATGCGCACGGTGAAAGCGGCTGGGAAACCTGTCAACTTCTCTTCGCAACGTTTTCAGTCGAGTTAAACCGCGTGAATCGCATTATGGTCACCGAGGCATTTTGGTCACGTGCGACGGCACTCGACGCTGATATGAAAATTACAAGTTATACCAAGCACTGGAACCTCTGTGATTCAGTTTGTTGCTGCTATTATGAATATTACGGGTATATAAACTCATTAAGCATTAACTTAAAGCTTACTTGCATTTAATGGCAGGATTATGAATAGCGCTAGATATTATTAACTCGTTTTATTGTTGTATCTGAGAGGACTCGAGCCTAACAATTACTTTAGAAGTTAAAAAGCTACTGCAACGGTACTAGATAAACAATTTTCTATGTAACATATTAAACCGTTAACAAGTATCCATTGTAACTGTCGTGACAGACAAAAAGAATTCGCAAACTTGCGACAAATGTCGTCGTTTCTCGTTAAACTTCTTCTATGGATTCAACAGAAACTGCAAATCATTGGACCGTTGCAGATTGCTGTTTATGTGCCATCAGACCGGTCTGGTGCGAGTTCGCAAGTGATCCCGTTTCGATTATCTCTCGATTATAGCCGCGGGACGTCTAGGATTGCTTCTTGCGGTCGTAATCGGCTACCAAAGAGTCACTGTATATTCGAATAAATGCAAAACATAAGACAAAAGTAAAAAAGTGGAACGCGAGAGTGAAATTCAGAGCGTTCCGTGAAAAACGAAGCGCTAAATGAAAAAGTCCACTGTGTGGAATATTAAGTAATACTATCTGTTCGTTACTTTTCATATCGAGGTTAATTATCGTGGAAGATCGCAGCAAAATTAGAGATTTGACTCGGTTGGGAAGAGGAAGTAATTATTACACAGCGATCTGGAGCAAAATCCAAGATGATCGCCGAGTCTTTCCAATCAGTGTCTGTCGCTGTGTTCATATTTTTCGTTTAAATAGCGTCGTAATGTACTTGGAGGATACTTTAATTGCATTGCGTTTCTCCTTTAATTAATCGTGATTATATTTTTAGTAAGCTTTTGCAAAGGAACAAGTGTTGTTAGTTGTTCTACTTGTTAGAATAAATTCGTTACATCATTCTGGAGTTATCTACAAACTTCATCTGCAAATAATAATTCTTTAGTTCTTGTTGATGAATGTAATAGCTCTATCATGGACATCACACTGTTACGAATTCTCAGCCAGGCTCCACACCGGAGTTTTCACTAATAGATTGTTGGTGAAGGTGTTCCCATTATCGGGATCGACGACTCCAGCGTCACTTCGACAACCTACATTCGAGAAGAACGGTCGATAAGCGTATCATCGCGTGGCTACAGGCACAATTTTCATCGATCAATGTTTTTGTCAAGGAAAAATGATTTCAGTGTCGTTTCTTCTCGGCTAGGAAAATGCGACCTTGAAACGGGAAACCGGAAACGTAGCAACAACATATTTCACAGCACGCTTGAAACACCTTCTAGATTACGGATAATTATAGAAGTAAGTGAGTTATGCATAGTTACAGAATGTGGCTGTGAAAGAGGGCAATTTCACTGGTACTCTACTTCCTCCAATTCTTCTTTTAAACCTTATTCTTCTTACGTAAAATGTTCAATATCAATTAATTTACAGTGAAGAGAAAGAAACTTCAATACAAAATCAATCAACATTATAGAAACTGATTACTACTACTATTACACCTCATTTACATCATTTATTACTTCCGCTTGAACTCAGAAAAATGTTACATCCTGAGAACTATCTGAAGTACCTTATACAATCTATACATCTTGCTACGAAACACATGACGTGTCGAGTAACGTTATTCCACCTTGCTTGGTTATGTTGGGTTCCAAGATCGTAAGGAGGATCGGGTGGGTCAATACTGGCGAACGTGGTCCGGCCGAATGAATTCCATTGACCTACTATTGATCTGGCCGGTAGGTAGGTAGGTTGAGCGACGACCGGCTTGGTCGCTCAATGACCGCCGAAAAGCGATCTTGTAGAGCGTACACGGCATTCACGGAAACGAACGCTCGTACGCGCGACTTCTGCCTCTTTTTTTCCTGCGGCCCTCGATACTCATGGAGGAAGAACGGGTACGTTTCAACCAGCCTAGATATTAGTACCAATGCGTAGAATTCCTTAACAGTGGTTTCACATCGTACACACTCTACCATCTAATTAGTCAGGAGGATATTCATAACAGTGGATCGCTTTAACCCTCCGATCGCCATTGCTCAGATTACGAACTTGTTCATTTTATCAAATTTTGCTCACTTCTACCTCTATTGAAATATTGATACAAAACATCAGGCATAATAAAAAATGGACGAAATCAAACATAATGCCAGCAGCATTATGAATTAATATATCAAACCCGATAGTAGACTAAAACGTAAACTGAAACACATTGGAAACTATCAAGTTATTTATGTTGTTGAATAAATGAAAGCTGGTATCTGCTGGTATCTACGGAAATCGGAGAATGAAATCTTTTTTTACTACAATTCCTAGGGAGATATGAATCAACAGAACTCAATTAGATTGGAATTTTCTGGTTGCTTGTTTTATGTAAATTTCATTAACGATTTCATGAGATTCTAAGAACCGATAATAAATAGGGGTTAGACAGACATGGATGGACTTGAAAAACGACTAGATGTGGCGGGTAAACAAAAAAGAGAAACTCAAGTGTCGAAGTAGGCTGAAAGAACTGTGTCGCCATGTACGATAGGAAATTCCCCAAAACGCGCGAATCGCGCAAGCTGTTTCGAATCGTAAGCCTGTACGCGTTCTCAAGTGAGAAACGCAGGCCGCGTCGCGTCGGCCGGCTGAAAGTATTTGCACAGACACGGTGCATCGGAACTGGTTTGCATGTGCTTGAAGTGAACCAAGCAACTGGGACACGTTACATATATTGGGTGGACAGAAAAATTTCGTGCGTGCATGGCACTCCTGTTCGACGTCACGTACACAATCGAAAATTAAGATCGAGAGTTTAATACGTATTATTAATCATGTTCTGTGATGGCTTCGAATATTTGAAATAACACGGGATGATTAATATCGGAATCGTAAAAACGGTGGGAGGAATGTCGAAATGGTGAATTTAAGAATTCAGAAACATGTATGCTGTCGAGAATCCTAAATTTATAATTTATGTTTCTATATGTATAGGCAAGATTGACTTACGAAAGTCCAAAAATTGCCATCTGTATATTTGATTATTAATTTTATGGAATAAAAAATAGCATGAAGCCATTCGATACTTTATGTTTAACACCCCGTATACAGGAACAAACGACTAAGTCGGTGAACTATAATCGTTTCCATTGAAGCTTGCGTAACGTTAATAGCGTATTCAAAGTAATTAATAAAGACCTTCACCGAAATAGAAGGTCAAGAAAGTTTGTGTACTGAGAAAAAATGAACGGGACATGACATACATTTGTAATACGGAAGAAGAGTAAAATATAAAACGAGGCTTTTACCAGGATTCATCGGAATCATCACCATGTGCGTTGAAACATACAAACATCGTGTACATGTGAAAACAGATACAATTTCTGTACTCTTTAATCTATCATCCGCGATTTATGCCGTCACGGGAAATGACTAGATCACAATAAAATCGTTTCACATTTGTGTTCATTTTACTCTCAGGTTGCTTCTTCGTGCGGGTAATTTCTGTTACGTCAACGAAGGATCGGGCAAAGATTCATCGCGAGACACGTGCTGCGCGCGTAGGAAAGTGAACCGATCCGCGAACTCTTGGCGTGACACGTTCTACCTATTTCTGGCGTGGTAGCAGTCCCGTCTGGACTCCTACACTGTAACTTTCACCGATTTTCCAATTCTTTGGTTTCTGTTATTCTCTTGTCGATCGATGACTTAATACTCTCTCCATTAAATAATTAAATCCTTCACTTTACTTATCTTATCACTTACTATAGACGTTTTTATCGTCTAAATCTCTGAATTGAGAGTTCAGTACTTTCTGTATTTACGTTACTGAGTATGTGTGTTTGAATTATCGTTTGAATTATCGATGAAAGTTTAAATGAAGCTTTAAACTTCAAGCTTAAATGAAGATAGTTTGTAGAATTAATGTAACTTAATAATTCGAAGTGATCTTTGTGGAGAACAACCTAACACTCCGATTAAATTAAAATTCATTTGTATTCGTAATAGTTCCGAAATATTTGAATCTTTCTACGAGAGAAGAACGTTTCTTTGAAGTTATTGACGACAAAGAAGCAGTTGAAATCGTCAAGCGTCGTAGCTGAAAAATCCGTTATACCTTTCAAATCAGATCGCGTTGTCTCCAAAAATGCTACGTGTTATGAGTATAAAGTGGCTAAACTCGTGGACCAATGTGGGTCAGTTATTGTGCAGGGTCGATTCTAAGACGAGCTCGTCAGCACATTCTTATGTACAGTATCGAGACACGTATTTCGATGTGCGGTTCAATTCCGCGACGTACAGTTATCGCTCAATTAATGTGTGTACGAGTCATTTCTATGCGTACCGGTTGTGTACATTATGGAATCATCGATCTGTTACGTTGCTCAAGGTACTCGTTCCATGTGGGTTACCTAGATGGTAGCTAATTTGAGATTCGCACGCTGCATACTACTATCATCTAATATAAAATATCTAATGTAAACATCAGACATGTAATATAAAATCGCGATTTGCATAGAATTTGATGCAATAAACGCGATATTTCGATAGAGAAGGATTAAATAGAACAGAAAAAGAAAATTGAATAGATTAAATGGAGGGAGATTTTAAAAAGTTTCCTTGATAATTTTGCAATTTAAGATCGTTGAACGAGTAATCCAGATTTCGCGCTAAGAAAGATGCCTATAAATTATAAACAGACCTGATACTGGATCGTAAATTCCACTTCCTTATGATTACGAACCACTGGAGAAGGAAGAAAGGAACGTAGAAAAAAGTTTAATGATTATCAATTATACAGTCTTAGAAGACATCGCTGCATCATCACAAATAAGTTAAAAGGTGTACGACTTTCTGAAGATAACTCGCACATTGTACGCATTTTGTAGACCCAGCTATACTGTAAATATTATTATTATATACATATTATTTGAACTATTCTGAATTTCATAGTGGAAGTCGGCCGATGGCTTTGGACACCTAGTGACAGTGTTCTTCAACTTGTAACATCTTACTCAGTCGATACCGCGCTATCCTGTAGTCACAGACAAAAGATAAAATCTATTCAGAGATCAGCTGAGAACCATAGCACTTTTTTACCATATATGTAGGCAGATATCTTCTTGATTTCTTATTATCATATTTAGATATTTATGTAGGTAGGTGGTTTCCCTCAAAGCTTCTTCTCTTGTTCATTTCTTATAACGACCGTAAGATCAAACATTTCGCAAAACTTATTTAAAAATGTGAAATTTATGTGGTATTGGTAACGTTAGAAATTGTTCAATCATTAAAGTGCTAAAAGTGCTCTAGAGTTTTGAAACGTACATGGAACGATAAGTCTATCTTGTATCTCACCTGCATTTATGCTTCCTCTTTGCTTCAATGCTACACCTAGCGAGAACAGGTAGAACTCTCACCTGTGAAGAGCCTTAGTCAATTGTTCGAAAGATTGCGCCACCGCCTTGCGACCAGTGATACCGAGTTTGAAATCACGGTCGCTTACACATGAAATTATTTATTGGTTTCAAGCCACTTTCACAGACAAAATACTAAACTTTCAATATTAAATTTATTTCCAAACGATACATTTAAATTGACAATTTCTCTAGGATTATATTACATTCACCATACAGAAGAATTTTCAATATTCGAACTCCTCACTTTCTCAAATTCTGCTCAAATTTGTTGAGAACTTTTCCTCCGTGGGTTGCCATTCGTCATTATATACCGAATGCATTACACTCGTATCATGATTGCTCGCTACCTGATTTGTCGAAGTGACATGACCACTATTGTCCAAATAGTTTGGCTTTGAATCTGTCACATAGTCTCTCGAATCACCTATCGAATCATCAACCTGATACGTTTCAATGTCGTAATTATCGGATTCTGAGCGCGATGATGATTCCATTTTATCACTGTTTACCACATTAGCGACGTTGTTAGTCAAATATTGGTATTTCTGTGGTTCCACGGTATTGCTGGAGTTCCAGTTCAAGTATGTAATATTGGCAATAACAGAAGGATGTCCATAATTCTGATAGGCAATTGAGTCTGTCCTTGATACAAGTTGTTCTGTTTTAAGGGACGAATCTTTCGATTCTGTTGCATATCCTGTTTTCCCAAGATTGCTTGTTATAAACCGCCTTCCGAAGCTGCGGCCCCAACCACCATAACCACCACCACCACCGCCACCGCCTGACGGTGCACCATAGCTCGAAGGCGGTGGAGCACCATAATCGCCTCCACCACCACCATAACCTCCTCCACCTCCACCACCGTAACCTCCGCCGCCTCCACCACCATAACCTCCGCCACCTCCACCACCATAACCTCCTCCTCCTCCTCCTCCGCCTCCACTAGATTTTGTTAGAAGAACGATTTCTTTGTACTGACCTGAAAATATTAAAGTAATATCGCATTTAATTCATATCGTAATAAAGTTGGCAATTTACAGCAATTCATGATAATGTTGGTAATTTGTGGCATTACCTCCTCCTCCTCCTCCGCCGCCGCCATTGCCTCCTCCTTTCATATACTTTTGCATCAGCATTGCCATGGATATCATTAGGGACATCCCAGCCATCATCATGCCCTTCATCGTCGCTACTCCTGATATTTAGAAATTTGATTAGGTATTTTAGAATGTCGTAAAGAAATAAAGGGCTACAATTTATGCGTTACCCATGAATTTCATTTTGAGCATCATAAGACCAGCCATCATCATTGTCTTACATTTGCCACCTTTGTCTTTGCCGCCTTTGCCTCCTCCTTTGCCTCGCCCTAAAGGAGAGCGTATGTTTTAACTCATTTAGAATCAATTAAGACAACACTTATAATAATGTTAGAAATACATCAATTATTTTTGAATTTTGTAAAATTGTAAAATCTTGTGTAGAAGAAACAGTGATGCAAAAATTATTAAACGAATCCTTAGTATTTCTTTCCATAGTTAATATAACATTTAATTGTCACTCGTACATCAAGTATTTTGATACAAACCCTCGGAAACAGGAGTTTCGTCAAACATAACATCTATCTGATTTTTTTCTCGGTTCCCATTCCACCTGGGTAGTGTAATTCTTAAAGCAAACGTATCGAAGAAGTCATTGATACTTCGTTCTATAGTGTCATTGCTATCATTCACGGATCTATGGTCGTTGATCACTCTGGTTTTCACTAGTTTAACATCTTGACCCATTAAATAAATCTCGTTTAAGTCCCTAATAGAGTCCAGGAATCGGCCGAGACGTTTCTTCGCGCAGATTAGCGAGAAATCGATGACACAGCGGCCTATGTCTGTCGTTGGGAACTCTGGGAAGTCATCGTCTTTCGCAGAATCGTTTTTCAGTGACGGTACCACTCGAATATCCACTCTAAAGCCGTTCCTTCGGAAATCGAGCACTTGTCGACCAGCGCTACTAAAAATTTTAATACAAATATCAAAATTGAATTAACCATCATTTTATTTAATAATTCAACGAAGATTTTATTTCTTCGACTATCGTAGTTATTTCTTTAATTATTTCACTCATCAGAGACTATTGCACGCAAGTTGAATTAACCATCATTTTATTTAATAATTCAACGAAAATTTCATTTCCTCCACCGTTGTAGCTAATTCTTTAATTATTCCACTTAGCAAAAGCTACATAACACTCAATAATGAAATGGGAGCAACGATTACAAAATGAATTTCACAGTACTATTGACGACCGCTGGTCCCGATAATCTTGTACGGATCCACGCTAACGTTGCCATCCGTGTGTGTTCCATTGTTTACTTGATTTCGAACTTGCTTTACGATCGAAAGCACTACAATCGCGACGAATATGGATCTGTGCACTACGTAAATAATCTTTGGCGTTGACATCGCTCGAAACCCGATGATCGATCTCGTACTTTACCGTCAGCAAAGACTGAGTTCCGTCAGATCGTAATCGCTTAAATACAATAGGATTTATGTCATTTGTCAGATTTTTTCAATGCCTTGTCACGATTGCCATTTACTAGGCCGCTAGGAAAATAACATAATAATACGTCTGCCTCGTAGTTTGGTCTTACCGCGGTTCCTAACCTGCGAAACAAGATCCCGCCTTTCGAGATTTCAGGGGCAACTCGATGACTTCCTGCGTGAAGAATAACGAGGGCTCAAGATCTAGTCTATAGAACTGAAATATTTTTTGTCGGCTATTCGAAAGTTGTTAGCGTCCGCTGAGTGATGGTTGAAAGAATCTAGAATGTTTAGAGGAAGTGGTATGTACGTTGCTGTTCAAAAGTCTTAGGATAATTTAATTCATTTTTTTATAAAAATGTAGTGTATTTGATGCAAATTATGAATTTTAAATTATATGTATTTTTTAGTAGTATCGTTAATTGATTAACTACTTTCTTTGTCGTATAAAGTATGTTGATTATAATTTTTAGTTCACTTTTTCTTTAATTTCGAAATAAATAATAATTAACTCGTGGATGTTTGCACATATTTGAGTTAAATCGGGATATCTGAAGAAAAGCAAAAGAAATGAAAGATCTCTATCCTTCGAAACGAGGTGACTCACTTGTGTATGTTAAAAAATTCCTTTCTATTCCTTCTCAATAAGGAACGTTCGAATCCGATTACATTTGTTGGCTGCACCTGAGAAATTATGACCGTGCGCACCTCGATGACCAGAGAATGTCTAGGTAGCCTAACGTACGCGCCTAGAAGCGGACGACCTTGTTTCGCATCAATTTAATTGAGTAACCATTCGTCTCGTAATTACGATGCGACACATATAATTTTCTTTGCAGCAGACCGAGCAAAGAGCTGTCTTTATTTTGCGCAAACTGCTACTTGATTCCAGCCACCTTTTCTTCCACTATAATCTATCATATAGTGAATCAAACAGAAAAAAGATTCGTCATAAATCTTCAGAAACCATAGTTGGTTCCTTTCGTAAAACGTAATGCGATCTTATAAGAACGACAGGGCCAGGGAGCTTCTTAAAAACGTGATTTATTAAAACTTTACACTGCGCATAAATACATATAAATAACAAGAAGGAGAAATCATGTACATGATACGAAAATGGTCCATGTGCAACGACGACCAGCTCGAGCCGTGTGACCGTGGGGAGTAGAGGTACGTGGGAGCATGCTTGGCAAATAAATACCTACGAATCTACGAATATAAATTGGTGATGGTGGTGATGGTGATGGTGGAGAGACGGGGCGATGAAATGAGACCAGGCGATGTGACTGAAGTGACGGACAGAGGCGCGAGCAACAAGAAAGCGAAACGAAGTTAAAGATGGGAGAGACGTGAAGGAGGAGTAGGAGAAATATAGTTGATGGCAGTGGAGAGCGTGATGAAGAGGTGGAGGTGGAGTAGGAGCTAGATACAGATTGAAAGGAACCGTGAAGTGTGAAAAGAGGATAAACGGAAACAAAGTGGACTCGGTGAGGTAGAGACGTGCTACTAGATCTCTCGCGTGCCACCAGCTGCTCCTCGCTGGCGGCTCCTCCGATCACGAGTTCGTTAATTTTGCCGGAATAGCGATCGACGATCCCGCGCGTTGCCATATTTCAGAACGGCCTGCTGGACGCTGTCGTGGATCGTGTCCAAGGATCTCCCGTATCCGGAATGTCCATAGCCGTGGCCGTGGTGCTCCTCGGAGCTGTGAGTATGAGAACTCGAGTATACGGGCTTACTGACAATCTCGTAGGTAGTCTTCTTTTCGCCACCACCGGCCAAAGATTTCAAACCAACGATGGCTGATAACATGAGGGCCATCAGGCCAGTCATCAGAGCTTTTCCGGCGAGTAGGGCGAGGGCACCGAAACCGATAGCGCCGAGGGTACCCTTCATCATCATCAGACCAGCAAATAAACCATTCATACCGCCCTTCTCCTTCTTACGTCCTATATGATGATCAATGAAATCGTTATCATGTGTTTTCATTCACGATAATCTCAATCTCTCTCTAAGAAGAGTAATTCCTTACCAGTTCCGACACTTTGTCCACCGCCAAGGCCAAGTTGAGCCAACGTTTCCTCGTTAAAATTCCTAGCAGCCTCGAAGGTCCTGGGGTCGAACAATTTGATGGATATCGAGTGGCTGTTCAGGTAGCTTCCGACCTTGTGAACCAGATACGCGTCCAGTCTCTTCTCCACGTCGTTAGGGAAATCCCTAGCCAGATTGGCGACAACTTCGGAAGCTGGCATACTGGCAGAACTATTTTCTTTGATCACCGACACTCCCGGTAGGATATTGATGTCTTCCTGTTCAGATAATCTATCCAGGAAGGACACCACGTCTAGTTTCAGGCAAGTGGCACTGTAGGACTTGCCACAATCCTTGCTCAGAGTAGAGGCTAGAGTCTCCGGAGATTCCTCAACCATTTGTTTCGAGGTACGTCTCTCGATCTCGCCGACAACGGAGCCGACGAGAAGAAGAGGAATCAGCAGCAGCAACAGGGCCTGCTGACGATAGACCGACGACTGACCGAATACCGCAAATCCCTTCATCGTGCTGCGCGAATTATGCGACGTTTCTGAACCCGGACGCGACAAACTCTGATCTTAAAGAGATCCTGCTGGAGAAGGTCCGGCGGTTGGGATAAACGGCGTAAAACGGACTTGTTGCACGTGGTTAGGATTCGATCTGCTGACTGAAGCTGACGGACGAGACGCGTACCGTGCACTGGACATACCCTCGGATAGTTGCAGTATATATAGAGCGAGTCACCGGGTAGTCCTTTTTCCTTTTTGCCTTTCGGCCGTTCCATACATTCTCCTAAGTCGAGAGCAACGCGCCGGCGACGGTGTGCTCTCTTCTTTCACGGTGGTCCAAGAGAGGAGGCGAGGGGCTCTCTCGCGTCCACCACCGCCGCTGCCTTGTTCGTACGCGGCGAGAGGGAGCGTCAAATAGAGCGGAGAATTCGAATCTCTGTCGAATTTGCGGAAAAAAAAAAGGATACCGGAGACGTTCTAATGAGAGCGAAGCCTCGTGATCTTAGACTTCCATTCAATTGTCGCCACGGAATCATCTCAGTGAATTCGCTCAGTGGTCATTGTGGATGCTGCTCGGCCAAACTTTCTTCGATATCGATTCCGTTTGCTCTAGAAATCGTTACACTCGCAATCTGGATTCAGAAAGTACTTGTATCGCGCTTCGTACGCTGATCACAGGGAATTATAGACAGCTGTTAAAAGATGGAGTGGATTCTTCCTGCATCGATAATTCCGTCACGTTTAATTATATTTATGAAGTAAATAAACATCTGTATCACTAGTTGTTAAAGTTTAATTCATAGTTTTACTGGGAAAAAGTAGCTCCTGTATCTATGGACATATATTTCAGCTCGTTTGATCGATTGGATATTGCTAGCAGTGATTTTTTTCGTACTCAAACGTACAGATCAATCGAATAAGCTAGGATCGCAGATCGTCTGTGGCCGATGGCGACAGTGACGACCCGACATGAACCACTTTCGATCTCGACGACGAAATCGAGGCGGTCGATGGTCGGACAAAATCGAGCCTCCATATCCGGCTATGCGAAGAGCATCTGAATATTTAAGAAAATTACAAAGGGAGAGGGAAATCACGGAGTATTATTTCCCTCGACTGAGCGAAACGAGACGGAGCAGGCCTACTTTAAATTAGCCCAGTTAACTCGCGGGAGATCGGATTTTCGCGCGCCACGCTCGAACGACAGCGCAACAGACGGATCTGACGGCGAGAAAGTGCGCGGTCAATTTTCACAGGATCCACGCGCGAGAGATGCATCCAACGTTTACTACGCTTTGGAAATCGCGTGGCCACTTACGCGTTCGAGGAACTTGCATGACTTTAGACTCCATATAGTCTGTTCGATTTTATCGAACTTTTGTGGGTCAATCGCGTGGCGATGGTTAGGAAAATTGGTTTCTTGAATGATTTCGAAGAAAAGGAATTGAAAATAACAAAGAAGATACAGTACACGAAGAATACAATAAAACAACATAATATTTATAATATTGCGCGTTAATTTTTTTATGCTTGATATAATCTTGATTATAATCCTGAATATAATCTTGATTGAGTAAAGGTATCTCTTCCAAGTAATTGATAATTGAAGGAAGCAGAAGTTTGGATAAATCGATTTCTATTTTGAAAATAAAGAAGAATCATCGCTCCGAGCTACTGAAAATAAATTCCGATAAAAGTCAGAGATACGTATTTGATCAAGTTTCACCAAACATTGAGAGCTTCTCATCGTCGCATTCGAACTAAAGTGTTACATTTACGCGGCCGCACGCGAACTCGAGAAAAATTCCAGGCTGCGCATTCCGTTGAAATTATTTATCGTCAATAGGGCATGCAGTTTCGAGCGTGGTGAATTCGCGGCGTGAACACCGCGTAAGGCGTTCATGGACGTTTCGTACGGCCGAAACGATGCGCTCGCATGCTCGGCCAGCAGGTGTGTCGGAAAGGAGAGGATTAGCCTTCTTTTCCAGGTATCTATTTCGCTACTTGTTACTTCCTTTTACCGCAACGCCTTCCTTTCGTTAATAATCGCGCGATCTCCGGTGAGCTACTCTTGTTTCGATCCGGCGCAGAGTCGGCCAGTCGCTCTGTCCTTTGCGACCGTAGTCTATCGAATCGTATAAGTTCCCACAACATATCATATTCTTTCAAATTTACAGTAAAACTCTATTTTAGACAGTTGGCTGAAAAGTGAAACTCCATTTTAAACAGTTGAGACGATTGGCGTGAAATTTGTTTAAGAGCTTGCAAAAGTTTAAACGTATAATATCGATATTGGTAGAGTTAATGGAAAATGTCGTGTTACAATGTTACGGTTTGCCGATTAGATTTGATACTTGATTTTCATCGATCGATCCTGGTCATGCCTTTCCAATCACCGGCAAGTACCGAACGTACGCGAACTGTGCCGCAAGTGAAACGTGAATGGGCGCTCCTCCTGTTTCCCATAACTGTTCCTGATATACTGTTACTATCCTTTTAATACATTTAATACGTAACTCGAACGAGTATATCGAACATCGGCCGAATTTCCTCGACGGTGTCGATCGCGCATTATTAAATCTTTCTGTCCTCGACAACCTTCTGTTGGAGAGTCACGCTGAACAAAAAGTTATAACAAATAGAAACGGCATTTCCTACTCTACTTTCCAGAATCCGCGAAAGCGAAAATTAAAACCATTTGACGATTTTACGATCGATTTGCAATTTTATAAGCGTCCTTAATTCTCTGGCCAAGTTTCTACAACCATCATCCGAATGATATAACAGAATTTGCCAGCTTTCGACCGCTTGAATTATCGAAATATCGTACGACAAATATGAAATAAGTTGGACGAATTAGTTGGAAAACTAATAAGTGGAAGGTTTTCAACTTCGTAATAATTAACATGGAAATCAGAGAAAACAACCGATTAAAACGATCGAGTTGTCCATTCAGTGGATAGTTGTTCGATTTTACTCCACTGTCCCTGTCAATGCCACAATTGGGACAGATCTTGTTTCCGATTTCTTCATACGATTCTGTTTTGTACGTGTTTAGTCGCTGGATTCGATTCAACGCGTTGTAAATTGGAAACGGTGAACGTAATTGCATAGCATTTGCCGATTGATCGCGCGCGGTTAGCCCATTTTCGTTTCGAAAATCGAGATGGACGTTGAGAAAGTCGCTATTAGTCCCTAATGCACATGGACCACGAGAATTCCCGTAAGATCCACTGGAGATCCTCGAAGGAAACGGCCCGATCGTTTCCCGGCCAGGATCGCCGGTGAACGGCGCGTTATTTGGAAAACCGTGTCGCTTGGAACGAAGAGCGACCGCGTGTCTGACCAGGACGGATCGCTTTATTGTTCCGTTCGGAATTGGGCAATTTGCGATTTGCGTAGTTCTTATGGATTTGGAACTTTCAATCCTCTGCATGCAGGAGGACGTGCTGATAGTACTTTTTGTAATATCGTTTTTGTTGATATTTTTTGTTTTTTTCTTCGTTCCAAGCTTTTACTTGAGATACGAAACTTTCATACAGACGTATTTGCAGTGTTGTAAATTTTCAAAACATACGGGAGCTCCGATTTGTCTGAAAGCATTCGATGTTCGACATTCGTACGTTGAAGAGCAATTCAGGCTTGAAAACTGTTTACAGTATGAAAAGCCTGCAATATTTTGGACATTTCTAATTCCAAAAGCTTGCAATTGATTAAATTTGCTTCACCAGAATAACATTCCAAAGTAGAATATGGATTGGGTGAAACTATCCTTTAATCCACCTTTATTTTATATTAATATGCTCTCATTGTGATTTACACAAATATCGTGTAGTTTCTTTAAACCGTACACCTTCTCAGGCTGTTCATGCGCACGTGCATTCGGTTAGTTTAATGTTCTCAAGTTTGTTGAACGCATTTGCGTTATCGAACCGTGGGTCAGACGGTACAAAAAAAGTCCGAGGTACATCGACAGCGACTGATGCCGGTTGCTGGTCGAGTGGCTGCGTAGACCTCATTAATTCGACACAGAGCACCCGTTATGCGCTCAAAATGCATCGTGCGCGATCATACTTTCGCATTTTTTCAGAGTCAATTTGTAAACGTCATGAGTTTCCCGTTCATATCTAGCCATTGTCCGAGCAATCGTTCTGGTATCTACATTTTAAATATTCAGCAATGAAAGCATTGAAAGATCAAGTTTACCGAAATCTCTTGAAAGTTACGAGGATTTAGCCTGAAACTATTTTTATGATAGTTCGTAGAATGATGCGAAGTGTGTTAATTGAAAGGACTTCGATATAGTATACTTTAAATCGTTTGCTCACTTTACTTATCAGAGAAAATCTTGCTTTTTTGAGAGATATATACATGACTAGTATGTTTCAAGTAAAACTTTTAACGAATTAAAAAATCACGGTTAATAAACTTTTTATCGACTTCGGAAATCAACAAAGAGCATTCAGAAATATTTCAATCAACTTCTGAACTCGACAAAGGAAGAGAAGCAAACTCACTCTTAAACCAAGACATTTGTAACAAAACCAATCTTCGATAAAAATGAAACAACAACTTCATTAAATTAACCTTTTCCTACTGAAGATAGAGAAAAGAAGATTTAAGAGAGAGGAGACTTTGTAAAATACTCCAAGTATGTATTCTTATCGATTTCCCGAAATACTTCCAAAGAACTTTAAAATGCCCGGTGGTAATCAAATTTATCAACAAAACCGTAACCCAGCATTCGACTCATTAACTTCTTTTCGCCTCGAGTTCTCCATTCTCTTGACAGTGCTGTCCTCTCGATCGGCTTGTATATACCCAAGGTTTCTGCCCTCTCCACGCAACCTAATCACAACTGATACCGTTACTCGCCGTCTCTCCACTCTGAATGGGGGGAGGCAATGATCGCTCGACGAAGAGGGGAGAACGCAAAGTGGGAGTCCACGTGGAGGTAATGACCCAGTGCCCTTGATCCTGAGAATTCACCCAGGGGGAAGCAGAAATGGCCAATCACCGGCTCGGCCACTTTTCCCACCTTTCCTGTCACAGTGACCCCGATTCCTTCCTGTTCCTACTCCCCTACCTCTTCCTTTCTCCCCACCTGTCGTTCTCTCTCCACCGAGCGCGTCGCACGACTCCTATTTGGGTCGTTAGCCTTCCCCGTCTCCGTGATAACCTGCTTTACCTCGGCGGTTATAGATTTCCAATTATTTATTTAATTATTTTAGCTGTCAATGGCTGTCCGCTCCAGCGGAGAGAGGAAAGTGCACCGATGTGTTCGATGGTTGGATGGAAAATTCGAGGAATGAGAATAACGAAAAACACGAAAATTAGGAAGGGTGGAAATTAAAAGAAAGCGCAAGATCGTAGAAACGAAAGGACGCGATGTCTTTATTCAACACAATGGGAGTAATAGAGAGGAGATAATAAATAAAATGAAGGGATGAGAAGATGAATCTTAACTTGAAGACCGAATTTAAGGGATGTCTTGGTAGGGATACTGCTCAGGCCCGAATTCCGGGGCCCACCCTCTGTACGGTTGATTCACTTCTTCCTGTGACCTGTGCCAATGTTCGTGGTGAACTTCAGGTTTTACTATTCCGTACGAGACCCTGGTGGGATAGGAGGGTGGTGGTGGTGTTAGTAGAGCCTTGAGAGCGACCGCCCCGGAAAGAAGAAGGGACAGTAGACCTGCACCGAGTCCCTTGATGCCTATCAGACCGATCAGAGTGATGGCAATAGGAAGGACGATCATGGCTTTGAGTTTGAGAGCCAGTAGTAACGGCAACACGATCTTCTTCAGCTTGGTTCGGGCTGGAACGAAAGCGAAACGATGCAAAATCTAAAATCCACGTAATCATCGTACATTACTTTTATCGTAGATACTCCGTAGATCTTAGAAATTTGTTAACAAATACAAAAATAATAAGAAGAAATTGAACAAAAAAGAACAAAAGTGTTCATTAATGCGTGTCGACGAATTTGATGGATCCGATGAATCGTCAAGTGAAATTCATCAAGCTGATCAGACTGCGAATCTGGAAGGGGTATCTAGAAGCCTCTAATGGCCATTTATCGGCTATCTACTTTCTTCGACATGTGGCACTCTCGTTCAAGGTCCTCCTTCGTCGTGTTCTTCAGGCAGTTGTCCCAGAAACCCGGAATCCCATCGATGGCCCACTTTATCTCAATCCCTGCCACAGTAACGTTTTCGCGGATGCAGAGGAAGTGGGACGCGTCTTCGTGGCTTTCTATGCTCGACGCACTGCTACTTTCCTCCCTCCATTCTTCATCGCGTCCCAAGCGTTTATTCCTTGCGTGGGGAACGCAGGATACATCCCGACGACTCAGTTCGGGGAGAAGAAAAAATTTGTGAAAACTTCGAGGCGCGTAAAAGAGGCCGAGAAAAAGAGCAGCAGGCAGAGGCGTTGGTTCGTCGACGAAGCCAATCGGAAACATCGCCATCTGAAGTCCCACTTTACGACCAATCGTTCCTCGTCTTCGTGGCTTACTTCCATCGTATTGGAGAGAGTTTAGAAAGGCGAGGTACTATAAGTTCGTGGCCGTGGTCCAGTCGATTCACAGCAGCGATTCGACGCGACGAAGATCCACTTGTCTTGACGTTGAAGTATAAAAGTGTCTCCTGGAATTTAGTTCCTCCTCGAGATCACTTCGGGAAATCATGAATATTTCCCCTTTCTTTCAGTGTTTTACGCTTTGGTAGTCGAGAGAGTGAGTCTCGAATGCCGAAGATGTTAATGTAGGCTAAAGGAGAGATCGAAGGAATACTTGTAATAGAAAGTTTCTTCGATCTTTCTTCGTGATAGATTCTTACTTCTGTTGTCTGTTTTTGATTGGTTCTTTTTCGAGCAAAAGCTTCGTACCTCTTGCACGATTTAAGTGAATTTTCGTTTTCTTCTTGGGACATAATCTCCCTTTCTCTGTAGATTTCGCGATGATTAAAAGAGATTGAAAAAAAGCTGTAGAATTTAGAGCATCGTAAACAATCACGTAGTACATGTGTCCAAGCTCGATCTACGATCGAAATCTTTAAAATTACAATCAAGATCAAGAGTTATATAATTAGAATTTTGCCTAGCAAGTAATCAAATACTAATAACCTTCATATCAATACTGAAAAAGTTTCATACAATCAAAATTATACTTAAACCTCACCGTTTCGAAGCAAAATGACGTTTGGAAACATTAAATTTCTTCAACCAACTTAAAAGTCTTTTAACATATTTTCTAAAAAATTAATTTTACCTTCAGAAGCTCCTGTAGTCAGACCTCTAAGGCCAATCTCCATGTCCTTCTGTCCCATAGCTCTGCCAAACATGTCGGCAGAAGATCCATCGCTTGGTAGATGTACATGAATTTTCCTGTTCCTCAAGAACTGTTCGATCTTGCTCACTAGAGGGTCCTGACTAGCTCTTGCAGCCTCTTCATCTTCCATAATGTCTACCTTCTCCAAAGTGATCATATCACCGTAGATCTTGATGGTGTCCCTTTTATTCAGTTCGTCCATCGTCTTGGTTAGGCTGATCTCCACGCTTCTGGCGTCTTCAGCCGCGACGATGGCGATCGAAAACAACGCCAATATCGCGATCAATGATTTCATCATGATGATCGATTGAACTGGACGGACACGAGGATTTTGACTGTTTGTCTCGAGGTCAATTTTTCTTTTATACTTCGACTCGTGATCGATGGTGGGATCGGTTTGAACCATTTGGCAAGCGACGTGCAAGGGCTGTGGTGTCAAGAATTTTAATTTCGGCGTCTCACTGGCTAGCCACTGCACAACGCGTACATTTTCGTGACGTATCGTCTAACGATAGAAATTAATTTTCCTTTTCAGCGAGATCACTTTCGAGCGATCTATCAACTTCGTCTATGATCTGTGTTTAAATTAGACTTTAATCAACTGAAAGTAAAAATCGATGGAATACTAATTTTATTACTTCCACGAGTGATATAAGTTTGACAGTTATTGTACTGAAGCCAATTTTATTAAACTTTAATGACCACTTTTTGCGTTCGAATTAAATTTTAATCGACTGATAAAGGAATCGATGAATTACAGATTTTACTACTTGTTGGAGTGGTAAAAATTCAACAACAGTACTGTTCATTTTTAAAGTGCGAGAAATATAAACGTGAAACACAGGTTTGTAGAAACCTTGAGGATAAATAGCTGTTAACTAGAATGGACTGTCTTTAGAGTGATTGAAACCTGGAAAAAGTTGAAGGTTTGTCAAAGGTGCGACTGATTTGTTTTGGAGGAAAGTAGGAAGTTTTCTTTCAAGCATTTCATTTACCAAAGAGAAAAGTTGGAAATTACAAGCGTGATTTATTCGAGAAGTGGGACCAATCCGTGGAACTGTTGTTCCTCGTTCAAACTGTAAAACTCTCTCTAAATTCTGTCCACGAAGCGGTAAGGGACAGAAAACAGTATCGTACTTCAGCGTACAATGGAACGTCTCGTTTCTGGAGTTGGAAGAATAAAAGGGAGGCGCCGAAACGAGCGTTCCTTTGTCGAGTTGACACAATGGCGTGTTTCCACGACCAGAATCCGTTCTTTCAATCGTGGCTTCGACAATGACAGAGCCACTCCCGCGTGTTTCTCGCGGTACATCATATTCACGTGACAGTTGGTAATAAGTTCTTCGGTGAAAATTAGATTTCCGTGTCTGTTCGCGCGTGTGACACGGAACGGCATGCAGAACCGACTGTCGTGTCCCGAATCTGTTTTCGGTCGGAAGTGGGAGAAGGAGAGAGAAAGAAGGAGAGAAAGGAATGGAAGGATAAGCGAAGAAAGGGGAAAGAGAAGGCGCGAAAATAGGGTACAACCGCGGTGGGAGTGCAAACGAAATGGTATGTCCGATCGGAATCGCATATGAGCCAGACCGATTGTCGGCTCGATCGACGATCATGTCGATATTTCGCGCGCAGGGCAAACACTAATCACGTACATACCGTTTTCTTTGCACATGCATAAATAATCTCTTTAAATTAGAAATCGTCTTTCCTTTCGATCTAACACTCGATCCCAGCTGGTTAAAGAGATGAAAACTGATAAACGAACCTCTCAGAAGACAAAATGACCAACACCACCTTCGTATGTGTCACAATTTGATTGTTCAGCTACACGATTAATCGTCGATTCTCAAGAAACGATTGACTTACTTTCGCTTGTTGTATTCTATTTAGCTATTCGCATATGACATAAATGATAGCAAATTCCAAGATGAATTTTCAAAAACGATGCTTGTAACGTTATTACTTTTCTCTACTTTCCAATTCTGAAATCGGTTATATTGAACTATTGAAAGTTTGCAGCTTTCTCAGTGACTTTCAAGTGATTCAAATACACGACAAGTATGTGATAGACAATCTGCAATAGTACAAATAATTTATTAATACAAGGGATTATTAATAATTTACTCGGTCCATAAGTTATTCGCTTAAATATTAATCTAACAGTCGAGAACGAGTCTAGCGAGTATTACACGCACTAGATTCGAGAGATATGGCCCCCAGGTAGCCTGGAGTCTTTCGTTCCTCATAAACGTAGACTCAGGATCCTCGTTTCAATTGGTTTCGTTCGTGATCGGCGCCTGCGCAGAGTATGCCATCGAATGGGCGTCTATTTTTCCATTTTCAGCGTCGAAACTTCTCTTGTAGTAGCCCTGAGGTTGAACACCTGCTGCGACATTGGCTGCCCAGCCTTGGTTGGCGTTGTCAAACCATCCAGTCGATGGTTGAGGGTTCTTGCTGAAGAAACTAGTAGCTCCAGAGTTGCTGCTGCCGAATAATCTCTGGAAAGCCAACACTCCAGCTAGCAGAAGGGCTATTTTGCCCACGAAAAGGGCCTTCATGACCAGGAGACCAAGACTTCCGAGGAGAATTGGGATTAGGGCGAACAATTTTATTCCTGCGGCGGCGATCAGAGGAAGTGCCATTTTCTTTATTTTGGCGCGACCTGGAAACAAGAGTTACGGAGTGAAAATTAATTTCGGTAGCGGAGATATCTCTAATTTAAAAGAGGTGAAATAGACATTTCGAAACTTTGCTTTAATAGATAAATTTTAAGTTGAAGCATCGAATTTAGAGAACAATGGATAATCGTAGAAAAGTAGATTTGGAAGTTTTATTCTAAATTAGAATTATTTTAATGCGAAAATCTAAAAGAGAAAATTTTAAGCAATTTTATCTCAATAGAAAGATTGAAATGCGTATATTCTCAATGTAGGAGTTGCTAAACGATCTAAAAGTAATGATATCACCATTCTTTAAAAAATTGCGAATATATTCCCTGTATATTTCATATGTTTTGCTTAAAAATCGAATACCACGGTACTAAAAATGAAACTTCACTTCCCCGAAATTTAATCTGTAAACGGAACATTGAAGAATAAGAAGACACGAAAGACAACATAACAAATGAAGCATATTTGCTCACGTCACTTAGCTACCCGATCCTAAGTGTCGCTAATTAATAGCCTGCGTGTTATCAAGCGCAGTGAGCCCCTTTTTTCTCTCTCTGGAGGCGATGTATAATTTCAGAAGGAAAGCGAATGGAGGAGGTAGTGCGCGAGGAACGGGTTTATCCGGAACAGGTTACCGCGGCGCGTATAGATATCACGAAGGTGAAAGGCGCGGTGAACAGTTTATTCGTTCATACCGGTGACGCGTCGGGGCGTCATCAAGGTGGGAAAGATTATGTAATAGAAGCATCTCTATCATAGCGCAAGATAGAAAGTTACCTTCATCCAGAGCGCGGGATATCGAGCCCTCCTCGGGCATGCTCAGCTTCAAACTATGGGATTTCATAAACGACAGGGCTGATTCTACCAGCATAGTGGCGAGCTTAATGGCCCTGTCCGACATGTCTCTTGGTAATTCATTCATAATATCGACCTCCGTCTTCAAATCTTTTCCGCTACGTTCCACTAAGAAGAAGAATAACATATAAAACTTCAAGGAACTCAATGATGTTTGTTTGAATGTCAAAATTTGCAAATCGTAAAATAGATTAGATACAATTTATGTGACATTATCAAGGGATTAAACTTCCAAGAACCAAGTAGCTACAAATTTAAGCAACTCTGCGAAGGATTTAAAAAATGTTAGACAGAATTGAACTTAAACTTACTCGGTGTTTCCCTCACGAACTTCACACCATCGATGATCTCGATGTCGCTAGACCTGGCGGCTCTATCCAGCGCGCTGACGGTCTTGACGAACATGCAGCTAAACAGCGCGTTCTCTTGCTCGAAGCAATCGAGATTCCTGTTGAGCTCAATGTTGTTAAGTTCCGGCGTGGGCACAGCCACGGCGGATGTAGCGAAAAGACACAGTATCACTATTTTGTTCATTTTTTGTGTCTGATCCAACGTGTTAACCGATAATTGCAAAGAAAACGTATTGAAGAGAATCGAGCACGTCCCTCGGAAAATTTTCGGAGCAAAGTGTGATCTGACCCTCCGTAGCTTCTATCTTTATAGGTCTTCACCAGCTGGGACCCTCCCCAATATCCCCACTCTAACCGATGACGCATGTGACGACGACAAACGACTAAGACACACAAGGCGTCATCGCTGGTACATGTCGTTGCCCACCTCTCCGTCAGAAGAAACTTTCTTCAACAATTTTTTAAACAAACGACCGACCACTTCCATGGATCAGCGGAGTAGTTGAAGCTGGGCGGACCTTAGCATCGGCGATCCCTGATATTAGTGGCCCAGCAAGATTCTAAGAATTGGGTTAGTAGGGGAGACGATGACGTTATAGACGAAGGGATTTCGATGGTCCATCGATGCACCTCGAAATGAATTATATTAATACCATGGTATAAACGAAGAGAAGCTGAATTCTTTGAGGGAAAATCATTGTTTTAATAATTATAACAAAAATTAGGCTCATAGTTTTATTAATTATTGGAAAAATAATACAAGAGATTCCCATTTTTTATATCCAAATAATTCTAACAACCTTTCTCGAACTTATCCACCTCTGAGAAATTAAGTTGCATCGGTATTACTCTTTAAATTTTGTGATATGTGTATATTGTATATTGTATATTATTAATATAAATTGCAAAGACGTCAGACGATTATAGTGTACCCATCGATAAGTTACCGTCTTTAACGTCGAGAACACGTTTGATCGAGATTCTGCGCATATAATTCACCTTAATCTTCTCAGGCATTCAGTAAATTCTATTCTCTAAATATTCCTATAACTGGAAAATCTTCCATGATCGAGACTGATGTCTTCAAATATTTCCACGTGCAGCAAGCAGCTCGCCTTGGCCCACAGACATGGCCATCGGTCATGCCAAGCTAGAAATTGCATCGTGGATATATTTTCTGATATAAGACCCACTCTAAACAGTTTCCCTCTTGTGAATACCGGTGTCATTCTCTGTGACTTCTGCGTATTTTATTCAGATAATCGTCTCCTCTCGGTGTAAACTGTTAAGTACAATGTTTACAAAGTATGTTTTCGTGGGGGATGGAATTTTTTGTGTTTTTAAGGTTGTACCATTCACAGATCGTCGAAGAAAATTCTACTTTCTCCGACATTGTTTGCTCTGTCAATAGCCGGTATACTAAAGTGTGGCTCAATGGGACAGAGTAAAAATTACGATAAGCGAATTTCTTGTCAGTGCTTCAACAGTTGCATTGGTAATTATTCTCGATATTCCTTTTCGATTGCTTTCTTAAATGGTGCATAATAGCAATTATTAATTAGATATTATACCTAAGCACTTGGATAACTGTTCTCTTTTTAATAAGGATTTAACGCGAATTCTTGATTCGATAATGGGCGCGAAGTAGTCCAGCCGATGTCATTCGTACAGCAAACAATGTCCAGCAATGCGTACATCTCATCGGGACCGTTTCTTTTTTTCGAATGGCGCATGCCTCGGAATGGCAACTGCCTTATTCGCGAGCGCTGCTCCATTGTCTCGTTCCGGGTCTCTTTAAATATTTAACAGTCGCGCGGAACTTCGTCATCTTCGCGTTAACGGTATCCCTTCGATGGATTTTCACGATTAATTTTCTAGGTTACGTCCGTTCATGAAGTCGGTGACTTCCGATTGTTACAACGAACCATTGTGCCTTCCACCAATTCTATAGAACCTCATCACGTTCATTTGCATGGTTAACGCAATAGAATCATTTATAGTAGCGATCCTGTAATTATTTCTGGTAGCGTAAATTTTATACAGTTATGGAGAACAGAAAAGAATACATCGAGAAAAGTAGAATGAAGATGCTGAATAGGTATATCGGATGTTAAATGGAGAAATTTCTTCGCGACTGCTCACTTTGCTTTCAACGATGATTCAATTTCTGCTGTTGCGTCTGAATGACTTTCTTCTGATCGTCGTCTCATCTGATTTCGACTTTCAACCGGCACGGTTTATCTAAACGCGTGATTAATAAGTGTTTCGAGGTTTGAAAGCTATGTAATATTAGGAATTATTGGAAGGTAGTGAACAAAAGTTTGGCGAATCGGATTACCTTTCCACGAATTTTAAAGCACAGTGGAAGGTTGTAGGTTTTAAGGTCGACGACTTGTCCTATTTAATAGTGGCTCATTCCTTTCTTATCTTTATCATTTCCTGGGTTTCTTAGATGGTTGTGGTATCTTCCGTGGTTAATCTTTTTGTCTATTCTCGACAACGACGATTTCACAGTTTTATAAATAATAATCTCCAACTTAGAAAATATCTGTCAAAGTTCATACTTCTTCCTTCTTTAACCGTGTTACGGTCTTGAAACCTTTTATTTCTCAATACCGCTTTAGTTTCAACCAAGAAGACTTTTAATGTTTTAAAACGATCTTTATAATACAGTTGGAACAAAAAGTTATGCATATTACGATAAATGTTTTTTCATATTTCCTTCAAATTTAGCAATCTTTGTATCGATGTTAACCTGAAGTGAATAAATTAAATGAAAAATACGATTCGGTCGAAAATGATCTAAAAGACGCAGGTTAATTACTCACAATTTAGTGAAAGAAGATTTACGAGTAATTTTTAAAATAAGGTATAAAATACTTAAAATAGTTATGAAAATTTAACATTGGAAATATCGATTTGTCGATAAGGTTTATCAGTAGCGATGCTTGCCACACGAGTTTATAATTCTGGTAATTCGAGATGAACTTTCACTTGGCGTATCAGCGGTGCAATTAATCACAATCATGACAGGTTAGAGCAATTAATTATACGCATTGTATAGAATTATACGCACTGTATAGAATTATACGCACTGTATAGAATTATACGTATCGTTTCCAAGGAATCGAGCATTCCTTACAGCAAGCACGATTTGATTTGCAAGCGTAAAATAATGATTCGCTACCGTTCGAAAACACTTTCTACGGTTCGCTTCGTTTTCCGTTTATTAACCTCTCGGCTTTTTTCTGTTGCATTATGGAATAATTAGCAAGTTTCGTTTGCGTCAGTTTGAACGAGGAAAATTTTATCAGCTTTAAGCTTGTTTGACAGAACAGACAATGGATTCTCTGCGTATAGTTAAGTCACGGAATAAAATTAATATTTGATTTTCTATCGACCGATGAATTATAAAATACGTAGGGGTCGAGGGTGAAATGAACAAAACGTTTTTAACATTTTCAATAGTAATGAGTCTTTACTTTTTCCTGTGGCGTTCCCTATAAAATTTGTAAGGCTCAGTGTCCACCGTGTCGTCGCCCTCGAAAAAGTCCTGTCTCTTGTATTTATTCACGGGCATATTTACCACCTCGTAGCTTGTGGAGTGAGCCTGAGCGACCTTCTTCAATCCTACTATAGCTGCCAGAATTAGACTCATCAAACTCAGAACCACTGCCTTCCCACTTAATATAGCCAAAGTTTTCAACGCTATAGGCAGAAGAATCGATTTGATTAATATAACTCCTACAATCAAGGGGAGGATGTATTTGTTCAGCTTGTGCCTCTTCTTCTTGCGAGCTGCAACAAAAATGAGTGATATGTGTATTATAAACTAATTTCCGATTCTAGTGAAAAAGAAGTATTATGATTGTAGTGAGAAAGAAATATGATAATTGTAGTCAGAAAAAAATTCGATTTTAGATTTGATTATTTCATGATATTTGGTCATTTAATGCTTCATATATTGTCGATCGCTATAAAATCGGGTACCGTTTCTATGTCATCGGAGATGCACCAGAAAACGCAGGTCATCGGAAGCAAAAAAGAAGCACTTCTTATTAGTCACGTTCATGAAATATACAAGGTAATAAGGTGAACTGGAGTGGAAAGCATTTATGGCTTTTGTGTTAACCGACCACGCACTATGAACAACCGAGCTTCACATTATGATACACATTAGACGTCGCTAACTAGCTGGTGTGACGTTCCTTTGTTACATGGAACCAGTCGACTAACACATCAACGTAACGCCCTCCAAGCTATCGATCACACGAATTTCTTACATTCACATTCTTACATTCACGAAAAATACTCGATTTTTGACGACTAAATCCACTAAATCAGATTACAGTTGTTAGTACTAATGGATTATTATTAACTGGTAGTAAAAGCTCAATTAAATCAAATTACAATTATTAATAGTAACGAGTCACTAATAACTAGTAGTTAAGGATCTTTAGTATCTAATAGTAGAAAGATAAGTAAAGGGCCATTGAGAATCTATAGTCTAGTCCGTATACCTTCGAAAGAAGAACGTGTCACAGGAAGAACATCGTCCACAGCGTTTAGAATGCTGTCACTGATCCAGTCCGCAGGAGTCGTCGAATTTTCCAACTGAGGCTTCCAACTCTCCTGCATCATCGTGGGCTGCGTGGTTTCGGTCGCCGTTAACAAAGGCAGAAGAAACAGCGGGTATACCATCAGCATTCTTCTGTCTCATCTGAGAATTTCCTTCACCAGTAGTTAATATTCTACGGAGAATCGAGAAGCAGCGCGGCACACACTTCGGAGAAATAAAAAGATTCAATTTATCTTACTAAAATTCACAAAAAGAATGGATGCCACCTAAAGGCTGTAGTAAACTATGATTCACGATCATCGAAGGATCTGACGATGAAAAAAGTATGACGGCACAAGATGATGACAGACGAACTGTCCAGCTGGCAAATGAAATGTTAACTGACATTCGCCCTAGGCCGGACCATTAGTTTATATAGGTGAAACGTGAAAAGCCCAGAGAAGGAGACCGCCATCTAACTTGGTACTGACGCGTGACGAAGGATTCACTGTCCATTCACGTCCACCTCCGTCTCTGTTCTCTCTGATCATTGGACGACGTCGAAGACGATGGGTCTTCGTAACATTTTCAGCGGTGGAAGAATCTATCGATCGTCGACGACGATGAGACGATGCGAGATTGTGTCCCGTTCTCGATCGTTAATCGAGGTTCGTTTCACACTCGAGTAATCGATCTGGATTGTTCAAGCGTGGTCTGTTTACAGGGCGGTGTCTTAGCAAAGTGGAGGCTGGCAATATAACTTATATGACGACGCGATCACATCGCGAAAGGAAACGTTCTGGCTAATCGTAGAAATCGATTTTGTTGAGATATGGTGACTCGGATTTTAAGGAAAATTGTTGGTTAATTCGTATAATTGGATCTGGAAGAAGAAGTATTTTTGTGTTTATGCATGCTTTGTTAATTGCTTGATTAACGTGTATGAAATCATCTACTCGTTAATTACGCAGAATCACGTAAGAAGGATCGTCTATAAATTTTCACGGTGCATCATGCTAAATCGCCGAGTAATTGCAAGTAGAAGGATAAGCTTTCGTGATTCCGGATGTAAACACGATCTGTTTAACGTGTTGCGTGCGCACAACGGATCTCCCGATTATCCTTAATTATAATATGTTTTACTATGGGATCAATTAAAATTTCTTGCGCTCTGAATCAAGTGATACGCACAATTACTTAATTACGATTGATCAAAGAAAGTATAAAATAAATCATTTCTCTGATTGAGTTCTCTGAAAAGATATCACGATCGTTCTGGTTATCGCGCCGTTTCCGATAGTTTTTGCACAGACATCTAGAATCGAGTTCGTGTTCTTCGCCATTTAATCGTCAACAACACTCGACCGTTATATTTCTTTGGAAATAAAGCGGCAATATCGATCATTATAACGACATGCAACGCTCGAAACAAAGAACAAAAGAGGACCGCAATGATGACTATGACTTTGCAGGTCTAGGCTTTTCGTCCTTCCTTTTCTTTCATCTGTTTCCCCTTCTTTTTGCTATTTGTCCCGTTTCTCGCGCAATTATTCGCGTCACCGTATTCACGCAGGAAGCTACGAAATTGCCCTTCGCTTCCTCGTGGAACGTTACAATGCTTTTTCAGCTGGCACATGAATAGAACTGCTCCGACAACGTTTCTGTTTTCCTCGATTTGTACACGACATGACTATTTCTGCTCCGGTGGCTCTTTTCTGGAAGACTCGTTTCAAACGAGACTTTTGTGTTAATCTTCACTCCATTTCTTCAATTGAACGTTCATTCTTAGTTGAACGTCCGACTTCTTAAAATTTCATTTTCACGAAAATCCAAGCTTTTGAGAAATTATATTGATCTTAATTGTGATCTCGAATAATCCTCCCCTATTATTATTAGCTTACTATTATTTTTAACGATAACATTGTGCATCTTTCTATTATCTCAAGCCATAGAAAAGAAGGTTTGGAAAGTGTGTTTATGGGCAATAATTGTAACATAATTTCCCAATTAACAATACGATGTCAATGCTTGTGATGTACACTGCATTTATCCAGAGGAGAGCAACTTTCTACGATTATATCTGTACATACGCGATTAACACAAGGATTCTGTCTTCATGTTAGATCGTCGTAAACTGTATCGCGTGCTGTCCGCCGATTTCCCGTGGAATCGCGGTTCCTCAATTCCAGGAATTCCGCGCTACAAACCTCGTAACAAGCGGAACTGTTAAAACTGCAGACCTTTCATCCCTTCTACTTTTATCTTTTCAAAAATTCGCTATCACTTTTTTTATCTCATCTTGCTGTCATTACTCTATCAAAATAGATTCAATTCTTCCTATCTCACACTAACACCCAAATACATTTTACCCATTTCAACTATGTTCTTTTACAATCTCGAAAATTGGCATTTTTTCCCCTCTTCGTTATTATTGTTCTATGCAAACTTTCCTTTTGTAATTTTGGAAATTTATAGATATATTATTTTTCTCGCCCCGTTACTACTATCGGAAGGAAAAGGCTTCGGTTCTTGCCATTTTTCATCCCCAATTTTCTTTCCCCTTGTTCTTTTACCACATAAGTACCAGTATTCATACGTGTTATTTTGACTGCACCACCCAGATTCAAAGACATTAAACTTCACTTTACCATTTTTCGTTCTCAATCCCCTTCCTTTGCGCTTCCATTATATAAATACCAACGTTCATACATCGTACTGAGACTGCACCACCCAGATACAAAGCAGTCATCGATCAATCCCACTAGTCGGCTTGTCATCGGCCCGGTTAGCAGTGCAGCGTAACTAAAAAATCATCGTTTACATGGCACAATCTTTGGTACTATGTGATTACTCGCGATATCCGCGCGCGCACCACCTCCCCATTGTTTTTCCTTCTTCGTCGTGAACGTCAGGGTAATCCGCTGTACCGTTCGGCAATATAACCTGACACATATATTGCCGTCGACAATTTGGATCATAGCGCTTACCGCAAGCATATATTGCCGCCTCGTCGCACGGTGCTCATTTTTCACGGACTGTCGATCCTGCTGGTAACTGAAGCGTGCCCGGCGTGGTACCCTGCCCAGCCCCCCAGGTCGCCGTCGAGGAATCAAGAGCGCATCAGTTAGTTCGCGGTCGCGGTTGCACGCTGTTGCCGTCCGCTACAAACCTGGCAACGACCATTTCGTCATTTGCATTCGAACGTGAGTGTTGTAATTTGCTATCGTGAACGTTTCTCAAAACAGATCAGATACAGGCGTTGATGGAATTCGAGGAACACACGAAGGAGCACTCGCACTGTGTTTTTGGAAGCTTCGTCGAATGATCGTCTCCGGAGATTGGATAGAATCGTAAGTTATATACTTTGATATGGCGAGTATTTGAGATAGCTTCCCTTTCAGGGAATCAATCTTCCCTTTTCTAATTTTTAGATGAAATTAGTTCGTTGAGCAAATTTTAACATCTTTGTAATTTTGAAATATTATTTCGTAAGGCTATGAGTTTAGCTTAATAGTTATTCCTAAAGTCAATCATTCTACACCAAACTAAGTTACCATTTCACGCTTTCAGAAACATCGAAATAGACAATTAAGGAAAGCCATGGTTCGGGTAGTATTGGGAGAAACGGCTTTATCGTGATCGCCGGAAGAACGAAACTTTTAACGGATCGAATGCGGTTGAGGATCGTCGTAGACCGAGGAACTGATCGCGAATACATCGACGATGTAACTGAGAGTCGTGTTTGATCGTGAATAAAACTCACACGAGCTCGAGAAGATGAAATCGAAAGTGAATCTAGTTACGATTTTATTAACTCTGAGCTGCGTATTACGCGTGATGGAAGCTTTGAAGTCGGACAATCAGCATGCGAACCACAAGGAGTATCCTGTTGCGAAAAAGGTTATCAAGGAGGTTCACAATAAAGTTGCACTTAATAGTGCGACTCTCCTACGTGGGGAAGATAAAACGAAAGTGGTGAAAACTCTAACCAGGAATACTGGTTTGAGTTTGTCGAAAGATTACTTACACGCACCAGGTAATATCGAATCCCCGTATTCATCCAACAGATTTCTCTTAATATTTCTGTATATAACAAGTACATAACGTTGAGATCTCTTTCATTGGAATTATCTAAATTTCGCACGTTTACAGAGCTTAAATATCTTTGAATATTCATTGGTAAAAATTCAGGAATTAATCGATAGCGATTTTATGATCAAATAACAACAGTTAATAATACAATTTTCAATGTCATTTATTAATTCTTTAACATCTACATTAAAACACACACAGAACTTCTCGAAAAGATACGTAGTCATTAGTTACGAACAAAAGGGAATTCATTCTTAAATAAATAATTTTCTAATATCTATAATAGACTGATCGATTGTAGAACAGCGGCAATCAACGAAGAACTATGACAATTACCTCTTCCAATCGGTTACAGACCGTCCTCGCCGAAAGAAGCGGAAGATGGATCGCACAATCATGGCGCTGCTAATGGCCTACAAACTGAAATTCGTCGCTCTGATTCCAACCATGGTCGGAGGATTAATCCTGTTAAAGGCCACTGCGTTACTCGCGGGCTTCTTCTTCGCGTTATTCGCCGCGGTTCTCGGTCTGAAAGTAAAGTGAGAACAGCACCGCTGTCAAAGAACGAGATCGATACTGTTCCTTTCGGTAACAGAACGATCGTCACGATCGGTCGATGCATTTAATTTTGAATTCTCGATCGCGTAAATCGCGAACACGTATCGTCTTGCCGCGAACCACATGCTCCTATCGGACGTAGGCGTAAGAATGTAACATATTATGTATCTCGTTTGTGTAGCGAAAGAATAAGCGCTAAAAATGATTAAATCGTTGTATCTTCCTTATTCACGTCGATTACGTGCCTGTTTATTCGATCTCAGTCTTGATCCATCGGCAAAGTCGATGTTACAAAAATCAATGGGTTAACAATAGTTATATCGTAGTAATAAATATCATGGCGTTCAATAAATATTATATAATTCGTATCTTAGGTAATTAAATCATTCGAGAGGTGAAGCTCGGAGTATTTGCGAAAAAACGATTACAAATCGGATTTAGAAGCTATTTTCGTTGTTTACAGGTCGTTTCGAACGCAAAAATGTCTCGACTCGGTTCCGTTAGAAGCTCGCGTGCGTGGAAACCATTCCGTAGCTATTATCGTGCCGAATGCTTTCCCGCTTGACGGGAAACGAAAATGAGTGACAGCTGGAGTATACGGTGTATCGACCGTCGCGTGACGGCATCTGAAAATGTCACTGACGTTCACGGTATGCATTTAGCTAACGATTATCACGCTTGTTTTCCGCATTGTGGTAAAATTTCGGCTACGATCACTGCTACGTGTGTCGCCTAGATACTTCTCAAATTAATTTCTACAGGGTAAAATTTAGAAGAAAATAATTAACCAACTTTGAGAGTTAGATGATTCGCATGTTTCTTCATAAATGATTGAACAATATACATCGAAACGCCAACGATTTCTTGAAGAGAGACTTGGTGTTTCTCGTGGAAGTTCTCATGGTTATAATATTCCCTTCCACGAAGAATCTATAAACGTCTAACGCTCAACGAACATCTCTCTATGTAACAAAGAAAATCGCATCGTCGCTGTAGAATTGTTAGTCGAAATTTCTGTGCAGAGACGAGAAGATGTATATCTTACGTATAGATATGGAACTTTATCATACGTGCCTATTTTTACGATCCCATTGAATCTATCAATTAGAAATTATCAACCAGATCCGCATTCTTTCGCTTACTTATCTTCTCGTCTATGCACTGTAAATACGTCGGTCAGTCTAGAACGTAGAACGGCTACCATTGAGGTGCCATGCACGCCGAACGAAACCGGAAGGCCTGCTATTCCCCCCGTTTGCTGCGATCAGTGCTGATGTCGCGCCGAGTAGGCCAGATTCTGCGCGTAGTTGCGGGTTAGTTCCGTCGTCGTCGACGACTCCGTGGAGCCGAAAACATTCTTGAGACTCCTGTCCCAACCTCCGCCACCCTGCTGCCAACCACCGTGATCGTGGCTCTGCTTCTGACTGAAGAGTTTCTTCAGTCCAATGATGAGAGACAAGACAAGAGCGATCTTGCTGATGATCAAAGCCTTTCCAGCTAACAAGAAGAGCACTCCAAGGGCAATGGGAATCAACGCAGCGAGTTTCATGGCCATTCCCATCATCATCATGCCCATCATCTTCTTCATTTTACCACGTCCCTCTTCCATGCCTTGTTTCAATTCACCAGGACTGGTTCTAGGCAATCGAATTTGAACGTTAAAGCTGTTCAGTAGCGAAGCCACTCGGTCGAATAGAATCTCGTTCAGAATCTCATCTTTGCTGGACATAGTTCTACCAAGGGTGGCTTCTAATTCGGACACAGAACTCTTCGGCGTTTCGTCCGTGATCCTGATTAATTCAAAGTTCTCCGACAGAGGAAGAGTATGCATTCTGCCTAACCTCTCGAAGAACGCGATCGCCTTCTTCTTCAAGCAAGGCGAGACTGCTATGTTTCGATGCTGGCAGTCCTCGTATACCCTGTACATCGCTCTGAAGCTCCTGTCCACGAGACTGTCCTCCTCTTTAGCAATCGAAGACGCGTAGCAGACCACACAGCACGCCAACAAGACGAACACACACTTGGACAAATCGATCATCTTCATCATTCTCCTGGTAATAATCTTCCGCGAGTGTTTAATCCTCGGCGAGGGACACGGACGAGCGTTGTGTCACAAGAACGTGAATATTCACGAGATCACTGAGCGCACTTCCGCGGTCTTCAGGATCTAGACAGGGTACTGGCGGTAAGCAGCATGCGCCCGGACAAATATATACCATCCAGCGATCCGCAGTCCCTCGCGAACCGTGCTGAGTTGTCTCCCACGTAAGGAGCTGTGCCAACAGCCCGAAGACTGTACCACTGGTACACATGACAATGCCCCGCGCATCTTGAGGGTTCCCCTGGAACGGCCTCTAAACAACCAACCTTCTCTGTTGTTCTCTTTGTCGCTTCGTCTAGTCGCACTCGCTTTACTCTATCTATGTATCTCCTTCCTCGCGTACCACTCGCTCCCCGCGAAGATTCTCTCACACCGCGAGCATACGATTCGCTCTGACACACAGACCCACTCAAGCATCGAGATCAAGATAGAAGAAGGTGGAACGACCTGACATTAAATTTCGCTGATGTCTAAAGGAATAAGAGAGGGGGATAAGATACAGAAGGATGTATCTTATAGAAGCGCCTGGCACCGTGACCTTGTTGACCTCTCATCACGATGGTTGGAAGTAGTTTTAGGTCGTGGACGAACCGCGGCCTTAACTCTCGCGCGTGTCCCTTCCACCTATCGTTTCTTCGTCTCCGTATCTTGCGAGATCCCGGTCCAGATTCGGTCTATAGTGAATCGAATGATATTAAAGCGATTTGTGCGGCCGTTACACGAGAATTTCCTTGAATCGTTTGATTGGAATTATTGATCAGGTTTTCTTTGATAAATACGCGTATTTAATCTATGAATCGCACGAAGCATATGAATTTGCATAAATGGTCATTGTCTATTAATAAATTGATAATCCTGTTTGACGCGGTTTTCAGTAATATGCACAATACGCAATATGTTAGGATAACATATGTAGTAATAGAGCGATGGAAATTATTTGGATCGTTTCACCGTGAATGATGAATTAGAGTTTCGTTAGACAGGTTGTAATTATGGAACAGGGTCTGGAAGATTGTTTTTCGGTGTGTAATCCTGAGATGTAGACAGTGCAACGAATCACGTAACAACGAGAGCAAATTACGGTCGTCTCGTCAAGAACGAGACCTCGCTTTGTACCTTTTTCGTCTGTTGCACTAGACTGCAATTCCTCACCTTCACTCAGACTTCCTCTTTTTCCGCGGCCAGCTGGGCGTGTCCGCAGCGAGGAAAACAAACGCCTGTAGACGGTGGAGATTTATTGGAACCCAGTAAACTCACGATCTTCACTCTCTTATTCTAAACCGCTATCATACCTGAATACAATTTTCATTCCATTAATTGCCTATTTTGGACTTGCAAGTTTCCACAGAGGTTGATTCATAAAAATGAATATTCATAAAAATCTGACTTAAATTTCCACCTAAAGAAATAAGGGACAATGTGGATTCTCTTGACAAAATCTGGTTCAACATGTTTTTTCCAAGTCTGCAGATTTAGAAGTTCGTTATTTCTAAAGCGTAAAAATTTAGAAAGAGCAGCGAAACGCTTAAATCGATAAAAAACGGTCACGATGCTTCAGACCAACCGAGCGGACTGCACGTGACGTGGGTTGAACTTGAAATTTTGAGAGAATTATGAAAAACAATTCGATCGAACGGTATGAGTCACCGTACTGATCTCGCGGCAATACTAGTGTACACCCGATCGAGGTTAACGCATCTCTAATGCGACAACGACGCATCCTCGATGCTCGCTTACCTACTTAGCGATTATCCCATAGCTAGGGTCGCGGCGAACCGAGACGAACAGTGTTAACGCGCGTGCCACATTCGCGGCACGCAGGTGAATTCACACAAACATCGTCGTGGACGAATTCTGTGGCAAAGAATAGGACGAAAACTGAATCTCCACAACGCGTAAAAGCACTAGCAAGATCGGACAACCGATGCTCTAAGGAATCATGGAAATTACATTGAAACGTGTGAAAGTACAGGTGTCTGGCTATGATCTGATTTTACGGTGAGTTTGTGAGAAAGGTGTCAGTGGTGATTGGAAATGTTATCTTCCTATTTCAGATATATCGAGAATATGTACGAAAATTGGGCGTTTCGTTCGAATTAATGTAATAAAAACATTGCTCTTTTGATATTATGCTTTATAAGTTCTTGTTTTTCTACCTTAGAAATATTGCTAATATGTGAAAGAGAGTGTTCTATTTGAGAATTAGAAGATTCGTGTAATAGAGTGGTCGCTCATTTTGGTACTCTGCTTTCTTTTCCTCTGCCTGGTACTCTGTTTTCTTTGGTACTCTTTATTTCTTTTCCTTCTGTATTAATATCATTGTGCTACTTTTTTTTTAATACCGTAGTTTATATGTCTTTCTCTTTTATTTCATAATTATGTTATACTTATAGTCATAATAAAGTCATTATCATGATTTGATGTTTAGAAACTAAGAAATTCGTTTCATGTTTGCTAGGAAGACGCAGTCTACTTTGTTATAACACAATCAAGTAGTAAACGTGACACTGGTACGTTTCCTATTGTTGGGAAGGAAAGTTCTTGGTTTACTAGTAAACGGGGACGCGCGAAATTAATGACCGAATACGTTAGTGTCACAGCATGAATAGTTCCGCGTGTTTCTTTTCAAGTGGCTTTACAAACGCGAAGATTCACTTCCATTCACAGGATACAAAAGCTGCCTGAACGCGTTTAAAAGACGAAAACGTGTCCACGATTACAGATATCTCCTAAAACGTTATTAACAATTCTCATGACACAAAGAAATTCTTTAACTTGAAAGTGCTATACATTTCACATCATAAATATGATGGTACGTAACAACGCAATTGTTAATAATTATTTCCTATAGAAACTTGAACGTGTGTATTTTTTAATTTTACTCTTACTCTAGTTTATAATTAATCTGACATTATGTTTTAGACAATTATTCTTTAAATCGTTCATTTTGAATTCCTCATTGTCTTATCGCACTGTCAAACAGCGTAGAAGCTCGTTTCCAAGAATCTCTTCGATCATTTCTGTCTGTAATCTATTTTCCTCGAGTTTACACAAACGTTTACACGTGTGACACAAAATTTAATAACTTCACAGAAGCTGGGTGAACATTTCAAAGTATAAAATGAGGAAACTAATCCAATACCGACGAGAAAATACTCTCCGGAAATAATTCTCGGCAAATAATCGACTCTCGTTAGATTCAGGTCAGCTATCCGCAACTCGGAAGGTTTTAACCTGGCTCATTAGCTCCATGAGAGAGCCACGAATTTATGCTCGTTGTTTAGCTACTGTTTGATTTCGCCTCGAGCTAGCTTTCTGCCATAGATTCTCGCGGCAATATACTTCTCGAGATATCATGCTCGAATCTCTATCATGAGATGAAAGTTCACTGATGCGCGAAATTGTTCATTGGTTGCCTTTAGCAGCATAAATTGAATGGCGAAGGTGAAGCAGTAAGCGTAATCTTACGATGACCGATGTAATTTGTGCATTAAGTCATCCACCGGTTGTTGTGGAATTTTGTACTATTTATTTGTTTTACGTTGCAATCGTACTTAAATCGTGAGGTTCATAATCAAGGTTTATTAGATAATCTTTACTCGTTAATGAGTTAATGAGAATAAGTTCTTGTCTTCCATTTTATCAAACCCCTCGTGGATAAACAGTAAACACCTCCAATGTGAAATTTTCATAAGAAAAATAAAATATTTCGTGGAACAAGGTGTGGAGAAGTTTCGTTGTTTGCACAGTTTCAAGTTTCAAGACGCGCGTAACCCGCGACCTTCGCAAGCTACGAGGATAATCCTGCATACCTCCAAGCAGTGAATCGAGGATGCTCGATCGGCCCAGTGGCACACAAAGCTACCGAAGAAAAAGGTGCTACCTTTTAAACCTTGTTTTCTACTTCCTGTCGTATAAACCACGTGGAAGGCGGAGCTAGGGAAGTTGTCTCAGCTTCGATACAGTGTTTCATTCTATCTACGATCGCAACTTCCAACGATAACTTTGCAGTGGTTAATAGACGCGTTAAGTGTTACACGTTTAAAATGTTCTCCACGATATGCTTTACAAAACCAATCTTTGATTCCTACTTCCAACATCTACTTGATGATATTTTCCATTCGAAAAAGTCGAAAAATTCAAAATATGGAAGGTGGACCTTAGCTAAGCAGTAAGATGTAACAGATGTTAATTGGCACTTGGTGTTTGATGTTAAGTTGAATATTCTGCTCAACATTAATTTTTTTTGTACTAAAAAACGGTTTATCCCACAGAACAGTAACTCGACCATTATGTTTCTTCTAACAGTTAGTTACCCCATGTATTACGCGCTTTTTCCAAACCTCGCGTAATTAGCCCAGATCCTTTTGATTTCAATGCATCAAGATATCGTTTTTTCACACTGGACGGCCATGGTGCAATTAACAGAGAGTACAGAGCGTGGGTTGGATTTGCTAACGGACTAGGCATGTATCGTATCCGCGACGTAGGATCGAACGATACCGCAAAACAAGTTGCATAGAAAAACGTTCCGCAGCTAGATTCACGGTCTGTATGTCGTAATCGCTAATTATATCTGTTTCTATAAAAATGACCATTCGTTCGGCCGGTCAGTTCGCGTCGAACATGCTCCGGTGTACGATCTTCGTCGTACAGCTCTTTGGTCTTCTGGCCACATGCTGTTGCACCTTGCTATATAGAAACACGTATAACGAGGCGCCGACTCCGATCAATTGCAGTCAGGGTAAGAATTCTACCGAATGTATAACCAGGACTATGCAGCATACTGAAGATAGAAGGAATGAAGTATCGGGTAGAGAATCCAGGATGATTGAGAAAGAAGAACTGGGGAACGCTAACTCTGGTGTCGAACAGGGTGAGTCGTAGAATGTGATAAAAATAAAATAATTGAAGAATTGAAGTGTCCATTGATAGGAAGCATTCGGATGTTTCTATAGATACTTGGTTCTTATTAATTAACTCGAATGTAAATCTAATTTAATATCTTCTCTTATCCGTATTTCTATATTTTCTATATTCTTTCTTATCTATGTGTTCGTTTATTTTATATTTTTATTTATTCTTTTACTATCATTCATAAAAGATCTTCATTGCGAAATTTACGTATGCGCGTGACATCTTGCTTTAAGGAAAATGAGAACGTTCCGGTCAGACACCGAATAATTTCATAGTAGACGTGTCGAACGATTCTTTTTACGATATCTTGCTTCGTTTTGTTGTGTACACCTCGTAGAAATATGAAATCCCGTTTCATGAAGATGATTTTAAGTAGTTACTTAAGTTACATGGTAATCATTCAATTAACGCTACCGTTCCAGTGTTTCCTTTTAACGCTATCTTTACAAACAATCTTGCACATCGCGTGACAGGACAAGCTTTTTGTTATTCATGTTTTAGTTTCTGTTGTAGATAGATGTGCATCTGAATTTAGTATTACGGCAACCGTATTATTAACAATTAATATACAACTTCGTTTTCTCAGTTACTGGACGAAGAAAAAAAAACAGAGGGTATGGACAGATGTTGCTGTATTTCTTAGGTGCGTCTAAGCTGACTATGCTTTACGTATTAATTAATGCTGTTGCTGCGATTGCTGGGAAAGCCCTAATTGTAGGCAAAGTTGCTCTAGTGATTGCAGCCGCGGTCGCATTAAAGAAAGCTTTTGGTGAGTGAAATCTATTAAAATATACAAAGAGGAATATTCCTTTATTCCTAGAGCGTTAATAAATGTTCATTTTGCTTTCAGAACACAAAGAGAAAGTATCGTACGAGATAATCAAACATCCATATCATAGTTACGAGCATAGTTTCAGCACAGACGTGGACTACGACCATCAGGGTGGATTTGGAGAATATGGTTATAACTATCGGAAACGACGAAGAATTTTCTACTAAGAAATCGATTAATTAGAATTTAAAGTAGAAATATATAATCCGAAATATTTAATGTTATAGTAATGTTGGATAATAAAAAGTACAAAATAAATTTGTCGATTATTATTTTATTATTGAATTAAAAAACAAGGAAGATTCGAAGCTCTCAGAAAATATAGAACCACTTATATATAGAATTACTAGAAGATATATATTTAGTTAACATTGTTTATTCATGTCATGTTTATATAATATATGGGTGACGTATACACAAGATAAATTAAATAAATACAATATTATTAATTTTTGGTATAGAGTATTTCACCAGCTATTCTGAACAAATAGCAAGTTACTTAAGAATATCTAAATTAAAAAGTACACTTAAACTCTTAATAAATATTACGTAGTCGTATTTCACGTAATAATTTCTTCAATTAATATCACTCAGATACAACTATCAACAACGTCAAGATTTATTTTATATACAAACGAAAAACATCTCTATCCGTTATACTAGCTTATCCTAAACAAAGTATCGTACATGAAATAAATTAAGTTTCACAGGATTTAATCGATTCAAGTAGGAGAAACACCGTCGACGGATCTTTGCCAGCCACCCCCGTATCCTCCTCCGCCATAACCACCACCATGATGTTCGCCACCTGTGGCGTAGATCACTTCATGACCTCCGCCTCCTTGACTGGACACCAGTTTCTTCAATCCAATAATTGCACTCAAAACTAACGCTATTTTAGCAGTAAGCAAGGCAGTACCAGCGAGGAACGCGATTTTAGCGTAAGCTAACTGCGCCATCATAGCTAAAAATTAAGTTTTCACCAGTACTTGAGCATGTGATACTTTTATATTATAATCTTTGTTGTATTTTTTATTAATTTCTAGTTTACCTCCCACTGCTAGAGCACCCATCATGAGAGCACCGTATCCTTTGTCCTTCTTCTTTCGACCTATAAGTGAAGAACCCAATTTTTTAATTCTCTTTAATTAAATTTAATTTTATTCGAAAGGAATTTATAATCTAAATAACTCGAATAATCTGCATACCTTGAAACGCATCTCCAGGAATAGTAAGCTTCACGTTCCTAGAAGTAATATACTCGTAGAACTTGTTATCCAGCTTTTGATCCAGAGTAAGCTCCGTCCCATTTTCATCCTTGAACGACCTATCGCTCCTGGCAATCGCTGCAGGATCCCTTCCAATGGAGACGTAATCGTTCAACACGTACACGGTATCATCGTTGATCGCTGAATCCAGAATGTCCAAAGCTTTTCGTTTTAAACAGTCGAAGGCGTTCTTCTCTCTGACGCATTTGTCGAATAACTTGGTATACTCGTTCTTACTCAGCGCCAGGTTAAACAATAGCGTCAAGTGAGTGATAAAAATGATGTAACGAGTCCTGTTTTTTCCCATCGTGTTTCAAAATACGCGATATTATAAAATGGAGAAACACCGAAGAGTTTGGTCGCGTAACATTCCACGCCGATCAAGTTAACCGCTCGAAAAATATCGCGAACTAATTCGATTCGCTGCGTCGTCGCTCTTATATAAGGGTATTTCACGTTTCTCCTACCATCGGTCAAGTTGTCCTTACGACGTTAACTCACACCTGATCTACGCGCTGTTTAACGCCTCCTCCTCCAGGAGTAGGGACTCTTGAACCAAAACAATGTCGTACAGCCCCGTAAGTAAGTATCCCTCTGACCCTGTTGCCAAGTGAAGCAGAAACCCTCGTGGAATGGCTCTCAAATGGAAATTAAAGGCCGCTTCTAACAAGTATCGCGAATCCAGGCTAGAATAAAGTTCTTTGCGTTTCACGCATTATTTTTTATATATAATCACCGGTTTCTGTGTTTCTTAATAAATAATCTAAAGGATTTGATATAAGAATTCTTTGGTATAGAAGTTCTTAATTTATTTACGGTTTAGGAGTTTTGACGTGTAATCAGATATGATTTGAAGATCGCAAGTATCTTGTAATAGGATAAAAATTTATTATGTAACAAGAATTGAATAACGAAAGGAAACTAGAGAAATCAAGTTTCATATTCGGAGTGTTTTTATTAGGCGGCGAAAGTTCATGTTTGCATTCGTTAAAGATGAATGCTCGGTAAACGATGCGTCGTACCAAACAGATGATTCTTTAATTATGCACGCCGATGAATTAGTCACCACGAATTAGTTAACGCAATTCGCCGAGATACTGTTAATCCGACACGGATTACAGACCATGACGTGCCACATCCGACAAATGACCGGGGCAATTATGCGCGCATGAAATTTTATATGAAAAATGTCCACTGTTCACGGCTGTTCGAGTTGTGGCCTGAAAAATCCAGGACACTCTTCTCAACATTTATCGTACCTCCTTGTCCGATGGTTCGTCATCTCTCCGTGCGTCATCTCAGGTAGCAAACGCAATTACCCTACTTCGTACCAGAGGAAAGAAGAAACCTTAACAGCCTTATCACGGTGTCTGGCAAAAACCAAAATTCCGACGTGTCGTTGGAACCTCGACACAGATAACAACGAGTATTGTCTCAAAATTCAGGACGCCCTTCTTTCTACTCGTTATCTCGTCGATTTCGTCGTTTCTTGTTGTAGATGATGACCACAATTACCCCACTTCGAGCGAGGGAGAACAATTACCAAAGGAAATGGATTATCACCATTATTCGATCTTTTACGATGAAATGATTTTATAAAAGATTCCTGCGTTTAAACGCGGGGAGATTTAAGCATGATAACGAATTCCATAATGACGGAAAAGAATGAACCGTTACATCGTAACGAATCCCGTCGTCACGCACGTTCGACCAGGGCAGCCAAGTGCAGAAATAACTCAAACAGCGACGAAGAATAGTAGAAGCCACGAGCTGTGGCGGTGGCGGAAAACGACTAACTTTTACGGTCGACCGTCGATCGTCCTGGTAATGTATGCCGTGTTCATCGTCACACTTGACATAAGGAGCTCTGCAATCACGTGGTGAAGCTATGCGGGCGTTCACGGGACCATGAACGCTATTACCTTTACGAGCAAAAGCATTTCCCGGACACGATACGTTCCTGCGAAGGAGGAAGTCGACGATACAGTTACACGCTACAACAGTGAACTGAGAGTGATGGATCTGCGGAGGAGTGAAACCCGTTCTTCCTTTAGGACAAACTCCGAAATGCATACGAAAACGACAGTGAGAGATATGAAATGATGTGGTATATGAAACAGAGATCAGTGAATGGAGAGGATGTAAATGTGGAGAGGATTTTGGACTAAAGAGGGTTTATTGAGGTTTGGATTATTACTGAAGGATAATTGTAATTTCAAAGTTTTTGTTAATTCATCTTCTCGATTCCATCATAATTAATTATTCTCATCATCTGGAATTCAGGCGCTAATGAAGTTAAATGCGATTCGGTTGAAGATATTTAATTGTCAGGAGTATCCTTATTTGGAAAATGGGGAAGAAAAGCAATGATATTTATTAAGAAGGAAGGAAAATTCTGTGTAATTGGGACGAGCGCGTAAGAAACGGTTGCGCGCTGAATAGTTTTGTTCTTGAAGTTAAGCTTTATTCAGTGTTTCATTTTAAACATGTACGTTTCATGGAAAAGGTTGTAATATTGAATAAATACATCCTGTCAGTATCAACGGGTATATAATACTGTGCAATACTGTGCGAATTTAAAAGTTTCTTCATTTTCCAGACTACGTTATGTAGAAACATTCAAACGAAGTCAACTTTTTATGAGATATTACCCATATCGATCACAGTAATAGAAAGCATAAATGGTCACATCAGCTACTTTTTACCCAGACGAAATTCTTGCCATTCCGTTTGTTCTTCCCCACTTCCTCCGTGTTATCGTAAACGTCGACGACCTCTCTAATCACATGCTGACTGTACGGTTCGAAGTCGTTGCCCTGAAATACCCTATACGGTCTATGATGAAAATTATAATGTTCGTAGTACGGAAATCCTCCGACTGGTATCTCGTGTCCATGCGTATGGAATCCTCCCCCTGGATAATTAGGCGGACCAGTAGACAACAAAGAGTTCCAACCCAACAAGCCACTAATCACTAGTGCTACCTTCGTCAATAATAAAGCTTTCTTCGTGAGAATCAGCAAAAATCCAAATAGCAATGGAATAAGAGATGCCAAGTTGAATTTGAAGCCTAGGAGGAACGGTATCAACAGGTGCCTCATCATTTGCCTTCCTGAAAAAGTTGTATGACAGGATTTAGGCATACCGTATTCACATTCTTAACCTTGTTACCCAAAAATAGAAATATTCAAAGTGGTAGAAACTATTAATAGGCAGCAGACGTAGCGAAAATCAGATTCGTAATGTCATAGATATTTCAGTAATATGTTTTCTATGAATATTAAAATATTCTAGAATTATGAATGGCGCGTTAAGCCTCTTCAACGTGAATGGCCTTGACCGTGCTGCCTACTAGAGGTGCTTCCTGAAAGTAGCACGTGGCGAACGCCGCCTCAGCGAGGATGCAAACCCTGGAGAACGCGGGTTCGTTTCCGCGCTTATTTCAAGGTTGAACGAATTACTTATCATAAAATCGAGATAATTTAAATTTTTCTTAGCACTGATCAAATTTAGAACATCTAGAATTTGCCTGGACGATACAGATTCTACACGACGCCTAACAAATGTACAGACGATTAACAAATGATAAGAACAGAAATTGAGAATGTTTGATAAGAAAATAGTTCATAGAGCATCTAGGATTCACCTGGACCAGCTTGCCTATCACCAAAAGACGTTGCTCTTTCATTGATGACGAATTCCATAATCCCATTCCCATTTAACATCGGTCCAGCTCGCAACTGCAATCCTGGATACAGGTTATCTAAATTCCATTTAAGACTTCTACGTTCAATCAATTTAGTCGTCGCTTTCACGATGTTCCCAAAATCCTTTGGATCGTAATCCCAATCTAGAAGTTGTCTACTTTGACCGTCAGCCCTTTCCAAGTGCACGTTTCCAAAATCCAGATCATCCTTGTGATTAAGCGATTGAAGAGCACTTAGGGCACCACGATTGACACATTCGAAGGTCCCAAATTCTTTTCGAGCCAAACAGGCAGTGAAAGCTTCGTTGAAGCTGGTTGGATCTTCGCTAGCCAAGATTGATTCCTCGGTTGGCTCCATGATCGCTGTGATACCCGTGGAAATGAAGATTAAAAAACACGAGCTTCTCAATCCGTGCTTCATGACAACGATATGGGTTTCATAAATGAGAACAAAACTTTTAGAAGATCGTAGAGAAAGTTGATAAAGTTTTCGTATGGATTGTTCCGTAACGGAAGTTTCCTGCATGCGACTAGGCCGATCGTTCCATTCTGCGTAAAAGAGTTCGCGTTTCAGTAAATTTATCGAACGTATAATCGATCCATTTTCCCTCAAAGTAGTCGATTCTCACCTAACGAAACTATTCGTCGTCATTTTCGTTGTCGAAGGAAAGAAATTACATGAAGATGGAAAATTTCTTAAGATAGGAACAAAGAACGAAGTGGAAGTAAGGCGACCGGGTTCCAAAACAATACTGTTGATCCAACACCCACGATCAGTCGACTATATAGGCGCCAAGGGGGCGTTCACACGCGACGGAACAATCGGTTTCACTCGGCGGATCTTACGAGCAGCGAAAGTACGTCTGGCTCTTTTCATTTCGTACGAGAGATCGAGGGTCCCTCGATACACCGGATGCACCCGAGCAGGTCAATTTCGAGAGTACGAGAGGCGAATCTCGTTAAACTGTCAGAACGTCGGTCGGGAAGCAACGAAGAGAAATTCTGCCACGAAGGACGAATAAAACTAATTGTAAGAATGACGATAGTCTATATTGACGTGGGCCGATAGAGAGTGGATATGTTGGAAGAAAGCAGTGTTTGAATAAATATCGATTCGTGTTAACGTAATAATGGTTCGTTAGCACGTTCGAAGAATAAGGTTCGGAGCGTCACACGAGACACGTGAAACTCAATTTACAAGAAAAGGGGAAGGATTATAATATAATAACATAACAAGCGTTGCTTCCGTATAAAATTATATTTATTTATAAATAGTTCGATAAGTTACATGGCAACCCGAGAAGGGTGTGATATAAATAATCATTGGATGAAATCTGGTAGCCCTGTAAAAGTACTGACTACAAGTCCGAGCGCGTTCGACCCGAGATCTACGATCGAGGTCGCTTCGAAGCGTTAACTCTTAGAAAGATACCACAATTCGGGGGTGAGTCGGGGGTGACTCGAATACCACCGTCCACTGTTACTAGTAAAGTCTGTCTGACAGCTTGCTGCTTGTGTCACCGTAACGATCGTAATCCGGCAGTGAATTGTCCGGACACCACGTGTTAACAACATGTCTTTAACAGTCTGAGCTAACGTCGAACAGTCTGATCGATCGTCAATCGTCACAGTTCGTCACGTTTGGTCACTGGTCACGCGCAATGGAACGATAGCCTCTTAATAAAGTGTTTGCTGGTCGATTGAAACGTTCAATCAGATCGATTACACGTAAGTTTCGAAGTCCTCGAAGGATCGAGTCGTGCAGTCCTCGGGTGATCGTCAGCGGCTGACCGATCACTTTGGTGAACGAAGGTAGTGAGTTGAAACGAAGAAACTATGGCGGCAAATAAACTATTTGGAGGGTTTGTACGCGTTGTACGCGAGATCAGAACCTGCTGATCTCGCCCATCCGTGGTGGTCGTGGTGTTCTTCGTGGCCGTATGAATGCACTGGGTGAGCCACTACCTCGTAACTTTGCTGTTTGTTACCGAGTAGTTTCTGAAGACCGATGATACCGCTGACGATTAGAGCGATTTTGCCGATTACGAGAGCTTTAAGGGCCAGGAGAGCCAAACCACCGAGAGCGATAGGGATGAGGGCTGCAGCCTTAAGCTTCAAGAGCAGTAAGATTGGCAGGAGAGATTTGACGATTTTCTTCTTCTTTCCTCGAGCTGCAGTAAAACGAAGAAGGTTAGAGCAACCAACTCGATACGCAAATTTTTCTTATTAATATTTTCTTATTAATAATTTTACCTTCGTCGAAAGAGCGGGATATTTCTTCAGGAAGACTCAGTTCGACAGTGTGGGTGGAAAGGAACTTGGAAGTTCTGTCGAGGATGGCCTGGTCGATGGCGGCTTCTTTGGCTTCCGTTTCGGCTGGTAAAGTACTTTCGATGTCGTTCAAGGATCTGCCGTTGTCAGCACGGCTGAAAAGTAAAACCCTTGCGTAAATTATTATGAAATTGCACGAATCGATCCAGAACTCCCACTTATCTTCATTCATCTTGAATCGTCTCTACGATCCATTCACTTTTTCACGGGCGAGCCTTACCTATTCTTAGCTTCTTCGGTCTGCACGATCTTGAATCCATCCACAACATCGATATCCGCAGATCTGGCTACTCTGTCGACGAATCGCAACGCCTTCAGTTTCAAACACACTGATATGTCCTCTTCGCCGGAACAGGATGCGTACACGTCCAAAGCTTCCTCGAGGATCGACGGCTGTTGGCCGTCATCCTGGCTCGCGGGGGCAGCTAACACCGAGGAGGCGACAAGTGCGGCGACTATCACGAACTTAAACATCTTCTACGATCGTATACTCCGGAATCACTAGGTGAAAAATCCAAAAAGAGATGTATATATATATAGCTGTATACTGGTCCTTTCACAAGCGTGCACAGCTGGAATTATTGCAACGATCGTATCGACACTGACTGAAAGAATCACGATTGCTTGCCTTTTATCCTCCTCGCGAAAGGGGTCCGCGTACGTTTTTGAAATTTTGATGGCCCCCACCGACCTGGTCCCCGCCTGGGTTACAACCCATACGAGCTATTGGTTCTCCTCCAGGCGGTCGTCCCGTGTTTCCCTGTC